ACTAAAGTACAGCATCAAAAAGAATGAAATTTTGAGTTCACGTCTCTCCATCCACATCAAATATGTATATCCAATAACTAAGCAATAAATCACAATTCGACCAAACCGCCCATCCCATTATCCACCCAACCCCTTAAAAAATTCGCTAAACCATCCATTCAAAAACTGGTTTCATTTCTTGCCGATGAATAATTTTTGCTCGAATCTTTTTCCACAAGCTGTGATGACTGTCTTTTTTGAATCTTTCGACCATGATGATATTTGATGAGATTTTTGCTTTTTGTCATCGAGGAGTGTAGAGGAATGTGTTGACAAAATAAGGCAAAATTTGAGACTTATATTTTAAGGAAGTACTCTTAAAACCGCAAAATCGTTAAGCGACTATGAAATCATATTCCATGCTAATTTTTATATTCCTCCATACATGTAGTCAACGGTTAGCAAATGCTGTAGTTTTATTATGATTAAATCTTATTTAGTCATAAAGTTGTTTTGTCGATACTGAGGTAACTTACTCACCGTATTTAATTGTACCAGGTTGTAAAAACAGAAAGATTAAAAAAATTCATCCAAGCCGAAAAAAATCCCGAGTACCTGATTCAATCTAATGACTTATATGACTCATACTTTTACCGAAAAAAATTTCTATTCTGCCTTCTTTGTTCCCATTATTTTCTAGATACAATAAACCACATGATTCATACGCATTAGGCAAAAAAGAAGAAGTTCCTAAAAGGATTCAACACTGTCGCCGAAATCAATTTGTTGCAGGAAGTCATCACAGTCATGTTTAAATTGTATGTCCAAATATTTACTTTTATGTTCGAGAGATCAACAGACTTGATATTTTAACGAGAATGAGAGATTAAATGAATTTAACCCCCAAAAAAGCAGCATCCTTTTTACAAATAAAGCAAACAAATATGAATCATCATAATGGTACTTAATAGGATGTATGCTTTATACACATAATGATGGTGCCATTCCACTCCGTTCTCTAAAGATCAGCGACACATGAAATTTTTCTGTTGAGGGGGTGTTGTTGTGATTATTTCGTCAGGTTTCTGATAGTTGGTTGAGATAAATTGTTGTTGTTGCTGCTGATTGCGAATACAATTTTAATTGCCTTCAAAAAATTTTGAGTTTTGAAATTTTACCAATTTTTAAAAAATATCTAGTTCGTTCCTATTTTCTACCCAAAATCACTGCAAGAACCTCAAAAAAAGTATTTGATATCAGAACCCCTTTCGACTAGTATGCACAACATATTAAAATTTGTTTGTTATTTTAAGCTTGTGTCGTGTACTCGTACTAAATAGTAAAAATAGAACTGAATATTGTAAATGCAATGTGGCACCATAAAAATATGGGTTGATGAAAAAACACAATGAAAGGAAATGAGAAGAAAACAAGGGATGCAGATTTTAACATTGTAAGGATGAGTCATCGTCGTCGGCAACAAAGAGGATTCCAAGGTAGAATATTTTTTAGCATTGAGGGATGAAATTTTACAACTTTTACAACCCCTCAAGTGAATCAAGGAACAAAGCATGTTAAAAATTGTTTAGAATCGAACAAAGATGATTCTGAGTCATAATTTCCCTCACATTTCTCTCTGTTTGGGCAATAAAATGTTTCCTGCTAATAATTTCATCATCCTAATAAGCAATGCGTTGGTTGTTGTTTGTTGAAATTTCTAACATATTTTCCCATTTATATGTTATTTAATGTTTATTTAGAATACTACGGATTTGTATATGAAATTCTGTTGAAAATGTATGAATGAATAATTCAACGACATTCCCTTCACGATGCGTCATACTTCCCTAATGCATAGAATGAATGCTTTACTTTCATAAAATTATTTAATATTACACCTCATTTCATGAAATTATCTAAAATGGACTTTTTTTTATTGTGCCGCTTATCAAAAACGTTAGTCATGTTCAATTTCAATGCTACACATTAAGTTGTTGAGATAACAGGATCCCCCATTTAAAAGTGTTGTCAGTTATGTCTCTAATAATGTAGTAAGTATTACACAAAATGGGAATTAATTGAGTTTTTAGAACAAAATTATGTCGTAAGCTTGTAGCGGTTGGTATAATCCCTGCTTATTATTCTTTAATCATTGCTTTTACGTGCTTTAAGAATTTAAAGTCACTAATCTGAGAAGATGTGACTCAGTCGTCTCAAACAAAAGCTGTTAAAATGAAATATTGAGAAGTTGATGGCAATGCATGAGTCAATAGACATACAGGTGATTTTTTGATGGATTTATATTTTCCAGCTGCAAAATTATTGCGATTAAATGTTCAAGATAATTGTTGAGAGACACTCAAAAAAGTCGTGAACTTGTTGCGAGTTCGCTACTGCTTGCTATTATTGTTTTTAAGTTATGGAGGATGTGACGTGGAATTTCTGATAACTTATCTACCTTACACATATTTCTAATTGGTTCTGTTTTGTTCTATACAGGAAATTAAGTTCATGATTGAAGGATGTGAGGGATTTACCACGTGGGAAATTTAAGAATGATAAGATTTTTTTTTTTTCATATTTTAGTGACTTAAAAAATAGCGGAAGTCGCTGCCGAATTTTGAAAACGTTGAAATTTTAAACGTACGATTTTACGCATTTTCAAATCACGTGACTAAATAGTTCACATTTTCCCACATTAAAGTCATCATAACCCTTTGACTGAAAATCGTGCCTTTCAACAAACTTTTAAATTTCCTTTTGGGAAGTTCAATCAACTACGTATTCTTCTTCTTCCTCCTTTACTTCTCTTCGTTATTTATTTTATTTTTTTTTTCGTAAGGCATAATATTATAAATTACTTTTTATAGTAGTTTCAGTTCTTATCAGCTCAACGGAAGAGACACCAAAATGAGCGATTTATAACACATATACACGGCTGACGTTCAAATTTTATAAATCAACTTGGATATTGTACATAAAAGAATAATTCATTCATTTTTCGTTGAGCATATCAACACAATATAAATTTTCCATAGGGAAAAAAAAGCTGGATCGAGTCACGTGTCGGTGAATGAATGATGAATTATATGAAAATAAATGATCGTCTTTAAAGTAAATATTTTTTTTTTGCAACTCAGTGCAAATCTAGTGCTGAATACATGACTGATGATGTTAAATTGTCAATGTAAAGCAAATTATTATTAAATAATGAAAATTGTACTTATCAGTATGGAAGTGTATATGCAAGGTTGATGCAATTTGCATGATAATGAAAAGTCATTAAAATAAACGCTATAATAAGCAGTCGCTCTTTCATTTACTCTATTAGTCATGACAGTAAAAATAAACACAAAATTTCACGTCAAAAATATAATCGAAATTAAACCTTCCTTTTTTTTGTGGACACATTTCATTATTTATTTTTTTTTTTTGAGTGATATCAATTCAAAATTTCTTTTATGGTAGACGAAGTAAAAAATGTTGTATAACATCGACTATATGGTGATGACACCATCATTAACTGAATACTATTCTGTCGCAATATTTTTTTGTGGTTGGTTTATTTTTTATGGAATGATGTGTGTTTATTGGTCGCTTTGGGTCAAGGGCTGATGAGTAAGAATGCTGATGGAAGTGCAATATCGTGTTGAACTCTAGTGATGGTTGAAGGACTAAGAGTATTGAAGTAGAAATCAATATTAGACTGGCTCATATGATGTAGATCTGTGATCAATTGACTGTATAACTAGCTTCTGTTTAAACTAAGTTGATTAATAATCAAAATAGTTGAGAAAATTGAGGGAATCCCCATTAAAACTATCGCTATGAAAAAATCTGGACCAAACTCAAGAGCGCTTTAATTTTCTAAACTGAACCTAATACCTGAACCCTCAGCTTTATCACGTTTCCAAACACACAAAGAGGTTCTTATAATGAAGAAATACGGTCGTTTGAATTAAACATTCTTTTTATCAACAATTATTATTTATACTTTATCAACAACACAACATTTCGTTACAAAAAAAAAGACTTCCAAAATTTTTATTCTTCTTCTTCATTAACCACCTTCATAATCATTTTTTCAAATAGCTATCCACAAATACACACAGCAGAAACGCAATGTAATACGATTGTGCGCAAACGAAATGTATAAATGTATATAAATTGTATTTGATATGACTCATAAAGGCCACAATAAAGGCACATAAGAAGTTGTAAGTATTCTTTATGTGAGACAACAAGGCCAGGGTACTTTGGAAATCGAAGACGGTTAAGAAACCGATAAGAGGTAGAATGAACTGCAACATTTAATGGATGATGACATTTATGGTGCTACTCATCTTAAGTCAATTACATCGTCTTATCGTAATCGCCTTTTGATGTCTCATCACAACAATACTACATCAACAAAATAAGCTCTTCATTTTTAAACACTACACAACATGACATGTTATTCATCGCATTGGCATGTCCAAATCCCTTAAAAACCTTCTAACATATCGTAGACCCATTAATTGCACCAGATCGGTCGTCTGCTATTCAGTTTTACGATAAAAATGCAGTCAATGTTGTTGAAATAATAATAATGGGATGGCAACAACAACAAAGAAAAAAACGAAAATTTGTTCAAGCAAAAATAAAAAGACTGAATGTATATGACTCATCGCTTGAACGTTGGCAAATATACACACTCATACAGCTATGGAAATATTTCTCACACTTTAAGACTGTATTGGTTTGAAAACATTAATAGCAGTTGTTTTTATGCTTTTGCTTGTTGTTTATTTCATTCTTACTTTACTTTTTTTATTCATTTTCTATGTGTCTTAATGGAACATTACCGTAGTGTAACCTGCACTGATTTATAGCACAGAAATTTACAATTTCTTAATGAGGAAAAAGAAGAAATGCGGAATTTTTCTTTCTTTCTTTTTTTCGAAAAAAAAGAGGCAGCAGAAAGCATTGGAAGAAATATATATAATTTGTGGGTCAACAGAATGGAAATTATGTGTACTTACCGATAAACTCAAATGCCTCTTGAAAATATTGCTTAATGTTCTGATGTGGTGTGTCATTTGCAGGTATCTGTTTATATTTCACGCCTGGTTTTGTTTGTGTATTTGATGGCTGACATGTTACATTTAGAACACAGTTGGCACCAACACTTGATGGATCGATGGCATCTCGTCCATTGCCGAGCAGCAGATGTGAAAATACGGGTGAAGCTGGATGTGTTTCAATGTCTGGAAATAAAAGATGATGAGAATACACATTAGTAAGGTTTTGACGTAGAAACAGAGATCGACCGGTAAAAAAAATGTGTGTGATAAGCAAATATCTCGTGAATAATGTATTAGACATGGAATGAGCAAAAGAAACTGGCTAAACAAGAAAACATATGGATGTTTATCAGTTTTCGTAGAATATACGCGTAGCTTCTCAATAAATGGCATTTTATCGCGATAATGTTCGAACTTTACAGACTAGAAAAAATGAGTTTGCATCTTTGTTGATGGGTTTTTGCGGTCATAATTCTAATATTTTGATTTTTAAACCTTGAAATTTACACTTTATTTACTCAAACTCCTCACTCAACAAGAATTGTCATACTTCCTGCGCAAAAGTCCTCAACAAAACAATTTTAAATTTGTTTTATTTACGCCAAAAACACAAAACTCATCAGCAATAAAAATAAATGATCAAGAGTGACTTGCTAAATGGTCATATGAGAGCACACATTACCGAAAAATTAATGCAAAACTCCCCCAGAATTAAAAGTTAATTCTTTCTCATCATTTCAATTTTCCCTACATGCATTCGTCTGAATTTGATGGTGGCCTGTCACCATCATACAGTACGCAGCATGTAGCCATTCTATCATTTTCTTCATCATGAAAATAAATTAAATTCAATTGAGCAGTAAGAGAAAATTGAATGAAAACTTGTGAGTCATCGCTGCACATAAAATATGATTTTTCCAATACTCAACATTATCTCGGATGCTATCAACGACACTTGCATCATAGAGTTCTATTGTATTGAAATAATGGAAATAATGGCGATAAGTAAAACATGAACGCGCGTATTGAAAAAGACAGAATAAATTTATTGGTGAACCACAGACCGAGGGGTGAGTTATATACGTACAATATATAAAAAATTTGAATCACACGCGAATCAATGAAAAAAAACTCAAATTTCAAGGATACATAATGTGACTCAGCAACGTGAGATGAAATAAATATGTATAACCATTGGTAATCGTGACAATAACATTAGCACTTAGCACTCACACTTCATTCTGCTATATCTCTAAGTCGTTAATTAAGTTAAGTGGAATGAATCCCAAATATGGCAAGAATATATAAATAAGTGTATACAATTGTTGATTAAATGTGACTCAGACATTAAGGATGATAATTTTCAATTGATGATTGTTTCTCATCAATATTAATTAATCTTATCGAAGTTTCAATTTAGATACTTTATTTATTGTGCAGGAGATTGAAGATCAATTTTATGGTGTGGCATGGGAATTGAAAGAAATGTTTATTGCCTCTACTTCTAACTGTTTCTAATCATTGTTCTGGTCTTTCGCATGGTTCTGATACGTCATAGTACAAACGTAATTTGTAAGCAATATTACGTACATAAAGAATCAACTTAATCAGAATTTATTGGACACATTATGCACATTATTGACACTATATGAACTGTACAAAAAAGCATCATTCAATCCCATCAATATTCATGACTTCCCTACATTCAACAACCGTTAAAGATGCTTAATCTAGTGGAATTTTATGATTATTATACAAATTGATTCTAAGCATCTTGTGAAACATTTTTCAGCATCACTTAACACAGGAAATAGAAGTTTACCAAGATATGAAATAAATCAATAATCATTCTCTTCCTTTATTAATAAACATAAGAAATTTATTACAGTAGAAGAAAGATAAACGAAAGTTTAATGGCCACATTGCAAAAGCAGGAACGGAGAGCGTCAATTATTTTTAGATGGACGAGAATCTTTCACATGGCTTCTCATTCAACTTGCGCAATATACAGAGCAGCTCATAAGAAAGAAGAAAAAAAAGACAGAGAGAATCTATGACTCATCATAAGCATTGTAGATGCAATTGCACGTTCTATTAATCTGCCATTTAATTCAAGATTCATCAACTGCGACATTTCGTATTTATATTTATTATTATATGCGAATAATGTGTACGATGACATGGATCAGAGATTTGAATTATAGTAGCTCATGGGCCCGTAAATGGAAATGAGCATTTATAATAAGAATGAAATTGAATTATGAAACAATTTTCTTTTCAAAATCATTTTAAACTATTCATAAACTTCCGTTCGTTCTCTTTTTAAGTCACATTTTCATGCTGTAATGCCGCTTATTTTGTATTGTTTTGAAATCGTAACAGTTTTATTTTGTCCTCCAAAAATTCTTTTCATTCAATATCATCAGCGGAAGTAATTCGACAGTGAGCTTAAGAGTCTTAGAGGGATTCAAAAGAATAACAAATATGGAAAAAGAAGGAACAGGAAGTTAAAGAAATAATTATTATTTTTTATAGTCTTTTAACAATCGATCGGTTTTGTCTTTAATTTAAGCTTGTATGTATTTTGGAATTGTCAACATGAATATGTAGTTGTGCATGTTCGTTTGGGGGCTTGGTACTGTATGATTAATTTTAGATATATAATGTGGCTATTTCAAAAGTTTGTCCACTAATGAGCTGAATTGTCAGCTTTAAGAGCAAATCTCATCAGTTCCAGCTGTACTGATTTAAGTCCATAGCTTCAACATTCATAAAGACTCTGATTCATAACTCAAATATATTCACAAATTGTTGCTTAATTGAATATGTGTGACACGTGATTACAGTAGCAATTAAACGATTTTTTAATAGCCATCTGTCCAAAATAAAAAATTAATGTTTAAGAATGAAGGAATAAAAGAAAAATATAAATTTTGTGTTTGTTATCATCAACAAGGAAGTGCCATTAAAATACGAACACATTTTTTCTAAAATAATATTTTTTTTTTGTTTTACGTATGTTCATCAGACAAACAGACGAGCTTTTAATTGTGCTAATTTTCACAACTTTTTCTCACATCTCGCCAATGCTACATGCTATATAGCAAGTAATGCACAGCAAAAATTATTTAAATGATTTAAATTTTCAACAGATTTATTTGTCACCAGCATGAGTGAGAAATGTTGTTGCCTTCACAACGATCGGGTTTGATGATGATGCCAAAAATAGATTAGGCAAAGTGCCGAAAGGAATTAAAATTTTCTCAAGTTTATTTTTATACTACCGACAAAACCAAAACAAAAACTAGAGTGGAAGTGGCTGTGGGTTGAATGTGAAAGCGCATTTTTCCATATTATTGGATTCTATACTTTCTGGATAATCTGAATGAGGTGATGACGAGCTCGTTTGTGATCTTGGGGAATTTTTTTAAAATGGATTTTCAGATGGTTTGAGAATTTTAATGGAAATTCCTGTTGAATTTTAGTTTTTTTATGGCTTCGATCTTTAATTTTGACTAATAATCATGATTTTGGCAATTTTGACTGTCAGGATATTCCCAAATACACATTATTTCCCTCATAAGTCATTCCATAATTCCTAAATCTTTTTGATCTTGCCTAATAACTTTGAATCTCGAAATATTGATGACAAAAACATGAAAATGTAAAAGAATTTCAAAATACACGAGAAAGATTTTGCGCGGGAAGAGACTAACAACTTTTTAAACATTTTCTTATTGGTTTCAATGCCATAAAGATTCTCCATTCAATACATCACACAAGCAGAAATGTGTGAAAAATTAAGAAATCTCATATTTACTTGAGTATTGTATGAGACACTGCTTATTTATATGTCAGTATAAATAAAGCAACAATTATAAAATGACGACTGATGAGTCACAACTAGTCGTTACATATTCTCAATGCTTCTTATTTATTTTTGTTTCTTTCTCTCACTGCCTTTATTCTCATTGCACGAGCTCCGCTGTACAAAGAAGAAAATTTAAGGAAAAAAAAAGATGTGAAAATCTTTCAATTTTAATTAAATTCACATGCAAATGCTGATGCGTAATGCTCAAAAACATTCTCGTCATGCCACACACAAGAGAGATTTCCTATGGTTTATTATTAGATCCCACTGCTGTCTTCATTCTTTCTCCTTCTTCCTCAAAAAATAATAAATAATTTATATTATTCATCTTTTCCTACTTTTAATGACTCGTAATGTTCATCATATATTAAACTTTTTTTGCAAGCGTCAAACATTACCCTGGTAGACTGTGTGTCCGTTCTATGATGTGATTTGCTTTTATGAAACTTATGGGAATTACTTTTATGGTAATGTATGCATGCATGTTTGTTGAGTTTGCTTTTTTTACTGTGCATGAATGAATGAAAGAAATGTTTTTAGTTGTGGGAAGTAAATGATGATAAGAATCGCGGTTTTGTGGGCTTTGAAATGCATTGTTCAGTTTATGGATGGAATTTTTTAAGGAAGAAGGAATTTTTGTGCGGTTATTCATGTGTCAATGTATTGCATTCATCATTATGCTCAGTTCAGATGCAGCTTATATTGAATATAAAATGTTAAACCCAATAATTCCCCAAAAAAGCTGTTTTAATTGAAACATATTAAATATTCTGACTTCCCAGAAATCTCCAACATAAAATAAGAAAAAACCCCATCACAAACTTCCCAGGACAGCTTTGTTTCCAAAACAGATTTCCAACTCAATTGCAATGTATCTTGAATCAATTTTAAAAATTTTATTTCAATCAACTTCAATTGAGACTGAACAAAAGACACACAAAAATGCCAGACTTCCCCATTTGTTAAATAAGACTCATGTTCAAAACAAAAACACCAAGTCAGCTGAATAATTTTAATTCGATTAATCTTAATTCGCGTTACTTAACAAAATTCTTGAATGCCAAATAAAGTAAGCTACACGAGTCAACTGTCATCTACGCGTAATGGAAGTTTTCATTTTTACATTTTTCGCTCTCATTTTTTTTTGACGAAACGTGGATTAGTTCTAAGAGTGTGAGATCTAAAAATATAAATAGTCAACCAATAGGTTAAAAATCTGTGTGGAGGTCATAATGAGAATAATAACAACACCGAAATAATTTTTTGGCACGACTCAAGACACTTTGGGGTATGTCTTTCAAATAAACAGAGAGCGAGAAAAAGAAGACAAAATTTTTTTTTGGCGTGTCTTTTGCAAGACGCACGCACACAGTTTGACACTAAAATAGAAATAAAAAAGTTTTGTTCGATGACTCATTCGACTTGTTGGCGATTTCGGTGTGTAGAGATGAATAAAAAAAAATCTTTAGCTATTAAAAGTGCTTTGCGGAAATATGAAGGATCTTTTCACTTGTCGTGTCGAAGGTTTTGACCGTTGGATATAATTTGTCAGGTTTCATGTGTGGAGATCACGTGCTGTGAATCAACAACTTTTGGATATGTTTTGAAAGCCTTTAGTTCCATTTTTAATAATTTTTTAAATTCCAAACATTTGAGTTTGACAAAATTACAGCAAGAAGCATCACATTTTCACCATCCACAACCAGTAAATAAGGATGTGGAATTATACTTTATGGAATGATTTCACGATGATCTCATAAAGTCAACCTCGAGAGCTTTTGAAAAATAGATGTCAATTCCTCATTCTCATTACCCCGAAATAACAACAGTGGACAAAAAAAAAGAGTTATGAGCGGATTCTTCAATCATCAATGGTGACGGATATTAGGTCAGATGTTAATGAGATACGAAACTGTTTTAACGAAGTATCGCAATGTCAGAAAGTATTTTCAATTTTATGCGACGAAAAAATTATATTTTGGGTATTTTGCACTTTTTTTTTTTAAAAAATAAGTCTTTCTATTATTTCTGTGTCTTTGAATATTAATGAATATGCGGCAGCGGCTTCTAACGGAATTTTGAACTTAACTTTAATGGCACTCGATCAAAAAACTATCTATTCAGTGATGATTAATTTGAGTGTCTGAAAGTTTTTTGAGGTATTCGTAAATTCATCAAAAAATATTGATGATGAGATCACTTAATATTATGTCTGATATTCAAATTGTTCCTTCAGTGGATATTTGATTTTTTAAAAAATTATGAATTGAAAAATTATGATTAGTTGTCAGAATTAAGCTTTCTCAATTCACCACAATCACCTCAAAAAAAAAAATCCGGAAATCCTCTCGACTATTATGTGAATTTAATTCATAAAAACCACAGAAATTAAGTTTTGAATTCTACATAATAACAATTGATAATCTCCATTCTGTTGTGTTTTTATCGCGTAATAACTTTTATGAATGAAAACTTTTTTCTAGTTCTCTGAATTTTTTTTTTGATAGACGCGCCTTGCCAGTTTAAATGACACAAATTTAGAGCACAAAGAATTTTCTGCCATATGCTGGAATTAATTTCGACTGTTCTGTCAAAAATGACTTAATTCTTATTCGTGTCAATTATCATTAAAAATTTTTTCCTACAGGAAACTTTTTGTATTGCTGATAATCAACAAGTCAAGGTTGAAGGAGACAATAAAAAATATTTTTTTTGAATGACTTCGGAATTTTTCAATATTAAACTTTCTGTACGAGGTATTTCCCCTAAAAATTCATTTAATCATGACGTAACTCACCATGTGATACTGCAGGACTAGAACAGCTACGCGAAAGAGGTATCCGTGAGCCGCTGGGCATTAAAGACGAGTCATCACAATGTCTTTTGTTCATGTTTGTTGTACCACAATTTGAATTTGTTGATGCATTGTTGTTGTTGTTGTCTGTAAAGGAAGAATAATTCAAATTAATTTTTGTACGATTAGAATGCGCCTAATTGTGGCTAAATTTTTATATCAATTTTAGTTTGACAAAACCACAAAAAAAAGAGTATTGATTAAGGAAAAATTCCCATGCGTTGTTACTCACTGCAATAGAGTAAAAAAAAGTACGATAACGATAACAAAAAAGTTTTTTTTTTGCTTATCAGCATTTGGTCAAAATGTTCAATATGACATTAATGTTTCCCGATGATTCAATTAGAAATCCGTATCGATTACTCATTAAGGCATTATTAATACAGTGTACTGGACCACATCAGATTATTATCATCATCATGTGCTTCATTCACAATGTACATTGTCATTTATTACTTAATTACTTGATAACCTTTTCACTGTTTACTGTACGCAGAGAGTGATGCCACTAGCTCATATGTGTACAGGCAGCTCAACAACAAAAAAAAAACAAGACATAAAAAGACGTCAATGAATGAATTATGAAGAATATTCTGTTGTATTGAATAAATATTAAATTATTAAGTTTCTTCTACTCGTGTGGAATATGCAGATGATCCAATATTACTATATACAATTAAGCAACGTCATTGAGCGTCTGGTTTTTACTCTGTAATGAGGTAAATATTGTGCGAAATTTTTTCATTCCACTCTAATGAAGTTGAATAGCAAGTGGAAATAGAAAGTACATAAAATGCTAGTCTGTAGATACAAAGATCATTTTTGAAGCTAGACTAAGTTCAATTTGACCTAGTCAATCTTAAAAATTACTCATAGAATAAAGAAGAAGACAATTTTACGATAAGATCACCCTCAACCTACAGTCGTTGACTCAACAACAATCCATTCCTACATAATTCATACATTACTAATTTTCCACAAAAATTTCAAATCCACATTTCTATGTAACACCCCCAAAACTACGTCAAAAATTTCATGAGTAATACACTCAACAATAGACAATTTTTATTCTGGACAAACATTCCACAATTAATTCTTATAATACAATCATAGCATTAATCATCACACATCGCAATTTTAAATTCTGATTAATTAAATATATTCTATAGATTTCACCACTCTACTAAGTTCAAAAGCTTGAGTTCAGCCTGATAAATGGAGCATATTCTAATGAAATTCGAGCTTCTTTGGAAATTTTATCAGCAGCCTTTATATAACTTGTGGAAAGAAGTGTGAATCAAGTAAGAAATCTAAACTATCGTGAAATATTTTCAAGGTTTTTCCCGAATATTTTTTCACACCTGTGATTAATCTTGAAGTACACACATTCTGGAATAAAAAAGCATTGTTTGAAACAAAAAATAATAAACACTTTAAATGATTCAAAAAGTGCTGATTGATATATAAGTGAATCATCGTAAGTAGCACAGTAAACAGGTTAATTAATTATTGTCATAATATTAATTCCTAGTCTAATCAGAACATGCTTTTTAAATGACTTAATCTCTCGTTCACATGTCACAGAACATTTAAGATGATTCTACAAAAGTTTGAAATGTCCACAAAAAAGTAGCAATCAAGAATTAAGTTCGTGTGACTTCTTAAACCCTGGTTAATGTTATTAAATCATTATCATGAGAATTTCAACTTCAATAAACATCAATTTTGTGTGTGATAATGTATAAAGCTGTGATTGCCAACCGTTTTTTGAGGGATTCGTCATTGAAGCGACATCAAAATACAAGGATTCGAACTTCCGTCACACAATCTATGATCATCATCTTATCAGTCGCCGTGCAAGTCATCATACGTAAATGCTCTGATAAAATATCATTTGTTGATATGATAATCACCGTAAAAGAAGTGACTTATTTGAACAGTACTTAACAAAACTTTAAATAATGTCATTTTGCTTTATTGTGTATTGTAGTATCAAACGTCAACAAATCTCGAGTGTACTGATATGATAAATGTGTGTATTTATAAATTCACAATGCCAGTAGTACAATATTTCTTTTCGTTTCTGGAAATGAGGAGATTGTGCCAAAATCCAAAATTATGCGTAGTTATAATATTAAAGCCGAATTATTCATAATTTGATAAAATTGGCGGGATGTGATTTCTTTTGTGGATATGAATTTGCATTTGAGATGAAACTTTATTTTAATTTATCAGTTTGACTTCGCAGAAGTGCTGCAGTTAAGCAAGCTACTCAAAATTCAAATTATAATCCCCAAGGTCCAATAAAAATATCAAAAAGTTCAAAATTCTATATTTCTAAAATCCTATTTTTACTCCTGCATAGTTGATTCACAGAAAAGCTTATCGATATCAAAAAGTACCTAGCCAACTGCTCTTATCTAACCTTCTTTGCTGATATGGAAGCAAATTATTTAAAGCAAATGACGCAAATCCAAAATTGTTTGAAAGATTTCTCAAAATATATAATTAAAGTACATTTTATGGTGGTAATATTTTAATTAACAAGGTTGACGTGGTTCCAAATTGACTGCAAATTGATTGACTTTACGCAAAAACAGTTCCGCGAAATGAACGCTCAACAAATCCACTTAAAACTTATCTACTTATCAAGTCGCGATATCAAAAATTTTATTTTCGAAATTATATTTTTAATTAGAGTGGATTAAACTTTGAGTTATGCTGAACATTTATTTATTGCATGAAACGTGCTGCAAATGAAATTTTTTTTCGATGAAAATTTTGATAAACTTTGAGACATTGTGCCGTCGACAGAAGTAGATTTTAAATAATTGAGTACACAAAGATATTTTATAGGCATCCACAAAAGCTAATCATTCCGTAATTTATTTTCTATTCAAATCTTATTTAGATCAATTTAAATGTTTGTTTACTGATTCATAAAAGCATGCAAATCAATCATGTGAACGTAGGAAAAGGCATGTAAATATGAATATAGTACACAGATTTGAGATATTTTGAAGCTCGCAAATGCGATTTGGCTGTTCTTATTTTGGACAATGCAAAAGAATTCGCTGAATCACTTTGAGATTTGTTTATTTGTATAGGTTTTCCCAAAAATAAGAGTTTGAAAAAAGATTTGTCATGCTGAATGGATACCTTTTAATGTCAAGATTGGAATTTACAGCAATTCAAGTCAATAATCTCGTCGAATGCGCTCTAAAAAACTTCATTGAATCTCCAATGTTTACGTATAATTTTATATCGTTGTCGACGCAGATTTGAGATATTATCACGATTATGAAGATGAGTAAAAATTTCATAAATTTCTACCCAAGAAGAAAACTATTTTTAAATAGTTGAAGAATTTTTTCCGCCTATTTTAGACGAGGAAAAATCATGAATTTCTATTTTCTTTTCTTATTTTATATTTTATACATCGTTTTAAGTTTTCTCTCGTGCACGACTTGATTTGTAATATTTCATGCCATTTCATTCTCTCTTATAGACCAGCATGTATGACTGTACACCGCTAAAAAGGTAATAAGATCGCTCCGTCTCTTTCACACGAATAGGAAATAAAGGCAATGCTATAACGTTTACTATACAATGTGTCTGTGTGTACACATTCATGACTGCGATGTGGATGACTCACACTGAACTGACACAGACTAAAAATACAAGAAATTTTTTTTCTTCGTGTTTTCGAATTTTTTTTAAGAGAAATTATTTTTTTTTATGAAGGAAAAGAAATTTGCTAAATACAATAATAAGACATAGAAGTCTTCTAAATTTATTCTAGATTCTTAATCAAGAACTAAGTGGATATAATTATTTAGTATAGTTATCCAGTTTGGGATACAAATACAATGATATATATTGATGATATCATGACGTCACGAAACTAAAGTAAATATATACTCACTAGGCAATTTGATAGGCATGAATCTGAGAGCCAAACAGGGACTTTCACGTTTTATCCTCATTGGTTTAATTGTAGACTCCGTTGTAATTTAAATCCACTGTCGCTTCCAATTTCAACAATGAAATTTCGCGCGAATTTTTGTTATTTGTTGTTTTATGCTAGCGTTCCTTTTTAAGCTTGCACTGAGATAAAATTTCAAAGAATTCTATATTCTATATTTTATATATCTGCCTCTTAATTGACTTTTATGGTGTTGGTTAAGCACACAATTTATTTAACTTAAAATATATTTATTTTTTCGTTTTTTTTCACATTCACTCTACAACTTGGGTCTTATGTCACAGATATATATATTAATAATCTTCACTTTTTTTTTAATTTTTTTTCTCTTACTCTCCGAAAGAAATCTTTGCAAGTACACAAAAATAAATATTAATAACAATAAACAATTATACGCAGGAAATAATATTATTTTTTGGCATTAGATTCTCTTATAGGCTAAATATTTATATATGCTACACTAATTTCAGTTCATGTGGCTCACTATTTATATATCTTTATGTTTCTGTTCTACAAAGCATTTTTGCTATGCAATTATTCAATGTTTATTTTTTCTTTTATTATATTTAACTTCTACTCGTTGTTAATTAAATTTATTCAATAAAAAGCTCAATATGAGAATTTTTCCACTATTCTCAATTTTTTTATTTTGTTTTATTCAAAACTTGATTTTTTTTTTTGTTAGAATAAAAATCGTAAATATACGACCGACTTTGTTGATGTCTCACAAACGAATGAATGAATGAATGAGCGAATGATTTTTTGTACATGAGCAATCGCAGTAAGCGGTAAAACATGTATGAGTAATTTTTGTTCTCTGCATACAACTCGCGCCATCTCTTTCAAACTTTAAGAAGCGTATACAACGAGAAAGTCCGTTTGAGATGCATAGAATGAAATTCGTTCAACATTAGAACAGGTAAAATTTTTTTTAATGTCAAAGTTAAATTTTATTGCAGTGCATTTGATTTTGCATTACTGAATGTTATGAAATCATTATTAAGTCAATTTTTGTCAATAACTGACGTTGATTTTATTAAAAAGGACTCGATGATTTCATAGATGCTCTCTTTGTTTTACTTTCGAGTGTTTTAAAGAATTTCTTTGTTTTTAGGATTTCCTTTATAGACTACTTGATCAATTCTTTGATTTTCTCGGATATCCTTCAATTTTTCCTTTCATAATTATTCTTGTATTTGTCAAGTAATCTCAATTGACAGTTTTACTAAACATTTATTCTTAAGAAACTAGAATAATTCTCAAAACTTGATGGAATTATTTTGCTATATTGTAAGATAATACATAGTATTAAAAGGAAATGGTGAGCTAGGATGACTCAGTAATAATGGAGATAAGTGTTTTGATATTTGAATACGTCAGCAGTAAAAACAAAGCCATTTTAAGTTCAAACTATCGAACTATCGAAAGAAACTTTGTGAAAAGATTCAGCTTCTATTTCAAACTGTTATTTTAAGCAGTTGACAATGTTTTTTAGTGAAAAGTAAGCTGCTCAAAACTCAGTAATGCTCCCTAAAAGTTGAAAATTCCTAAAGACAACAAATCAATAATGCTTACTTAATTTGCATCCTTCATCTTTTTTATTCACTTCCTATCCAATCTAGTCACGTTAATTGATTAAGAATTGATGAGGTATCAGATTAAGTGTAGACAAAGAGAGACAAGTAAATACAAAAATTCACGGAAATGCTAAGTCCAAGGAAATAGAATGTAATTTGAGAAACTTATTATTCATATATTCTAAGTTCTCTTTCGTTTATTGTTAGATGAAAATGATAAGTTTTGAATTTTAAATGAACAAAATAAGCATATGTAATGAGATTATAGATCAAGTTGATTTCTTTTATTGAATAATGACGGAGTTCTGGACATTAAAAATTTTTAACACTTCATTTACGATGAGAATCAAATGGAAAGAATTCTATAAAGCACGCTATAATGAACATCAAAACTTGTTGAAATCAAAGAATTTTTATGACTCACGCAGTTGCTTATTAATCAGTTTACCATCAATAAATTTTCTGTGAAATTTTTCTTCCTCATTTTAGTTTCTCGACCTTGTGAGGAATCTCCATTATTTTGTCATAGCTTTCATCTTTTAGTGTTAATGAATATGCATCATCAAGGGTAAATGCGTCGGAGTTGCCGATTGTCTACGCGTCTTTTATGAATAATCGTGAAACCCCTGATGATTTTAGATGTTGTGAAATATTAAGAGTGATATGTCATATGAGTTATGGATATTTGATACTGTAATAATGTTTCATACTTTTTGAAGGACTAAGTTGATGATGAAAAGGATTTTCTTGTAGACCATGAATTTCATGAGAATCTAGATGTTCATAAGGAATAACTTGAAAATATTCAGTAGCCAAGAGGCCATTGTACTTTATTTTTTAACATTCTGAGTCAGAAACTATAAGCTCTGATCTAAAGATGCTAAAATATAGCAACAACAGAAATAAATTCTCGAAAATGACCAGTTCTACCAACGTCCGAATGTGTCATCACCATCAGACAGTATCACAACCTATGTCATATCCAGAAATTCTCAATAACACCGAATAATACATTCTGCATATGTTTGATTACTAATTCATATCCTGATAACCTTACAACGATTGTAAATTATGAATCGTTCATCGAATCTAATCTACATCTGCTACAAAATGCGCACGATGACTAAGAGATTCATCACTAATGTCTCTTGAAAAATACTTTTGTAGTACATTAAAATATTCACACAATATCGCTAAAAAGACGAAAATCATTCCCGCATGATGACGAGAAAGAAAACTTGACCCACACTTGGATTTTAAGAATTTTTAAAAATTTAAAAATAAGCCACGTGACATCATCAGAACTTTTGCTTTGTTGGGAATTACCTGAATTCTTTCTCCATTTTTAAAATCCCGGATTGCATGTCGTTTGCAGTAATTGACCAGAATGTTTTATTTCTTATACAATTTCATTTAAAATTCAATTTAGTTTCCATAAAATTTAATAAACTCAATCAAAATTTGTTGTTCTCAAAAAACTATCTCTTACATTTAATTGATTTCAATTAAACTTTATTTTTTTCGGTTAGACATTGACATTTAATTCTTTTATTTCTTTGTTTTTATTTGCTCTGTGTTTGTTTCTTTGATAAATTAAAGTGCTCTGCCTAGTATTTTTTGACAATTTTTTTTAGTTGTGTTCTTGTGAGCCTCGGTGCCAATCAGTATTTTTCCATGTGATATAATTGGAATAATTCAATAGATTTTTTAATTTAGGAATTCTAAAGTTGCAGTAGATTTTTAAAAAGTGGTCTAAACATTAACTTTTTAACCCGAATGGCACAAGTCGGTTAATCGAATAAAAATCCGGAGCCCAGCTGGTATGACTCTAGAATGGTTATGTCTTCGATTTAAATCCAGCAACATCCCAGAGTCACACCAACTTAGTGCCGGATTTCTGATCGATTAACCGACTTGTGCCATTCGGGTTGATTCAATACTTCACTATTTAAAATTTTATGGACTGCAACTAATACTATCTTATCAGAATAGGGAATATAAATCTATATAGAGCATGTCGTACTGCTGTTAAATAGGTAAAGCAAATAAAAACTCATCAATTTGGCACAATTACAAATTATAAGATCTGTGAAGTGTTTAAGTATTGCGCTTAGGAAATTTGATAGTTTGTGGCAGTCAGTGACCAAACCTTTATAACAACTGTTTTATAAGGGAATTAAGTCATTAGTTGGTGCCGATAAGTCTCTTCAACAAAACCTTTCTATTATACAATTTTTCGCTTATTGATTTTGTCCTTATACTTGTATTAAAGACCTAAATGACTACAATAATACAAATATTGGCTAAAATAATCATTACTTAATAGAACGAAAATCAATTTCACAAAACTACAGTTTTTTTCACAAAAGATATTGTCAACAAAATGATTCATGAATCATCAAAAGAATTCATTAACAGAAAATTAGTAACAGTTTTGCAATTCATCAATTTTTGTTTATTTAACATTCGTCTTATTTAATTAAATTAACATCTCATAAGTAAGTTGAAATAAACAAGAAAAAGCTCTACAATGTTTTAAGCATTTCCCTTCCTCATCTAACGACGATTCATATTATTTGTTTATGAAATAATCATGATCTCATTACTAAAATTACAATAATTCATTCAGATTAATTGCAAAATTCGGATGAAGATGAAAGGGGAGATTTTGAAGGCTTTTTAACTGGCTGTATGTATTTAAAATAAGATTTTTCTGTTTTGAAGATCAATGCTCATTTTAAGCAATTACATACTTGAGCTTGCAAAAAATTTTTTCAATTATACAAAATTCATTATTTTATATGCAAACCTACATTAATGTTCATCCTTAAATAAGCGCATTATCCACTTATTCAATAAATAACTCCTTCACTTCCACATCTAAAAGACCGACTCGTCTCAGAATCTCGCGATCGTCATAATAGTAAGCATGTAGCATATTGAATTGTTATGGAAGAGTCAAGTAGATAAATTGATTGTTATAATTTAATGAAAGGAAAGAGATTTATGAATCATCATCTATATTTTCATAATAAATGTGAACATAAAATAAACATTTGACAATTCATTTTAATTCTAAGTAAGTAATGAGTCAAGTAACATATATGTACACTAATTGTTTCATTATTATACATCGATGACGAATTTAGGTAAAATGTTTATTATATGCAATGTGATGCACATTTGAACTTTGTTGATTATGAATAAGTCTAGCATGAGTAGCTACTTATTATTAATATTTAGTTGCTGTGTGTGCAGTGTTATCGTCATACGGAACAAAAGAAAAATTTTATGAATGAATTTAAAAGGAGTGGAATGTGTCTCGGCTAAAATATATGAAAATGTATCTCGACTTTGTATAATTACTATGATGATATATAATATAAATCTATAATACATTTACATGACAGATGATCCTCAACAACATTAGTATTGAGACGAAATTTTCAGAAATGCGAATATAATCGTTTTTGAGTGATAACTCGTTATTTTGAGTCTTTTCTTATTCACTCGTGGCTGTGAGAAGTGATGTCGAAAAATTATTCAAATAATGTGATTTTTAAAGAATTTGCGAATCAGTAAATTTTCTTGCAGAACAAGTGAAAAGTATCAAATGTCACGTGTTGCTGGTTTCATTAGAGCTAGTAACTAAAGTTTACAATCTAGAAGAACACAGATGGTAAACACAGAAATAATTCATCAAAAAAATAAGACTTTAAGATTCAAATGTCATTTAAGCTGTACGTGCAAAAAGAAATTTACCGCCAATATTAACACGCCCCGTCTGCATAGTATTGCTAGATATTTTGAGTATTTTTTTTCGTAAATGAAAAGAAAGCTATTTACTGCTACTAAATGTCAAATGAAAATCTTCATAAACGACATAATAAATAATCTTAGAAAATTAAAAGTGCATAAATCAAATGTTTCTCCTCCAGCTGATTCATATGCGATACAAACTCAACATTTCGTATGTTATCACATTCTTCATTTTCACACACGCTACATATGATCGAGTAAAATTTTCCTTCAAGACATTTTCTCTCCCTCGTCGACGCATGAAAAAAGTTGCGCATATTTTACGAATATTTTTCTCTATTTTTCCGTAAGAACAGCTATAAAAAGGATGCAAGTGATAGGAAAATGATCAGTCGATGTGGCATTAACGTGAGGTAAAGAAGGAAGAAAGAAGTCAAAGGAAAAAAGAAAAAAAATAATAAAAATTAGTGGAAATAAAGTGAAGAACAAGATAGTCCAAGAGTGAGAAGCTTTAATAGCTTGTGATAAATGGGATAATGGTCCCAATGTAGAGTAATTTGTCACAAAATTCCTCAATAATCATTTTTGAACGCTGAAATGTCTTTAATTATTTATTATCATGTTTATCGCTAGCCAATTTCCTTTTTTAAATTACAAAAAATTTTTATCTGATTTATTTTTTCTTTGAATTTCAATTTCTCATGTCATTCTCTAATGTGGCAAGTGATGGCATGAAATAAACATTTATTTGTCTTGACAAAAAAAAAAGATGAGAAGAAAAATTTTCAAATAACCAAAAAAAAAGTGATTGTGAATAAATTTTTGAGAGAAGCGACAAGAAAATTTAAAGAAAATGTTTTCCTAATTGATTTTTAATATTTATTTTACTATTAAGTGTCTCATGTCTGATAGTCCCACGTCTCTAAATGATATAAATAAATATTTTAAATCAATGTGGAAAATATTTTTGCTTTTATTTGCAAAAAACGCAAAAAAAAACGCGTTCAAAGTCACGTTAACTATCATTAAAGGATGTTCTTAATAAAATTTATTGGTCACTTTAAAGAAAATGCTTAGTTTTTATTTTGTTCTTAAGAATCTTAATTTGTTAAATTTTTAATTTGACTTTAATTGAACTTAAAGCTGAAATCTATCACCGTTTTTCTGCATGCAGAAAGTTAAAAGTCCATGCGTTCAATTACTCTTTAATATCCGCAACTAAACTATATTCTGAAAAGAATCAGTAACATTCCAATTTGGATCGAGGAAATTTGATTTGAAAAAAAAAATGATTCAATTTTAAAAAAGCTCTGGAACGCCCTTAGCATTCCAAAAATTCATTCATATATCCATCCATTCATTCATTTATTCATTGAAGGTGATCAATTAGTGAAAGTGGAATAAAAATTTGCCGTCTTGAAAATTACGTTAACGATTCGCATAAAATGAAAATCCGGAAGTAATTTCTTTATGTTTGTTTGGTTTTTTATATACACATACAATATTAATATTTTTTTTTGACAACAAAGAAGCCAGAAGAGAGAAAAAAATCAATTAATATTCAGACATGTATGAGTGTGAACGGAAAGAAAATTCACGCGAAAATGTTGTTTTTCATATTTCTTTTTTTTTATATTTTAAAGCGTCTAATTGCCATTGATGAAAGAATAAATGATTGTACAGCTCATAATTTAACAATAAACTGTTTTAATTGCACTTGATTAATTCTCTAGCTATCGTAAGTGGGCTGAAAACATTAAATGAGCGATGAATTATTGCAATTTAAAAGAATTTTATTACACTTTTGGCATTGACATTAGAAAGCATATGTATGCATGCTGCCGTGATATCATAATTAAGTTTATGGATAATTTTAAATGCTTTATTCTACGAGAATAAATTTAATTGAGTATTACAATCGTATTTGTTGGATTTATATTCATTTTTCGATAATCTATGCATTTAAAATTGACTTTTGTGGAAGATTAAGCTTAAATAATTCTGGATTCAATAAATCAAATTAATTATCAAATGAAAAATTTAACCAGATTTATAAATTTCACGACTAATTCCATTTCATGCCGATGGGATGAAACTTAAATGAATTAAATCGGCTTAAAATGTTATCAACAAGGACAATTAAGCAGAACAGGCATCTGTTGAAAAACTCTTTATTCAACTCAACTATCAATATTATCAATAAATCCAACCAGTTATCATTTCAAAAGATTTTGTTTGCACAAGAGATTTATGCATTTTCCCATCCAGTATACATAACAATAATGATGATTATGATTGCACTTCAAATGGCTTTTTTTATTTCATTCTCCATATCGACAACGTTTTACTTAAAGGATTTTAAAATACAACGGGAATAACATTCATTGTGGTTTATTTGTTCCGCAAAGTCTATAACAACTTTCATTCGCATTACTTCCCATTAACAAACAAAAAAGATTCAGAAATTGAATGTAAAAATGTTTGTTTAATGAGAGAATAAGAAGATGATGGGCGGAAAATCAGAAAAGGAAGAGTAAATTCCTTTGTTCTTTACCTTTTCACTTGACCACACAATTTTCATTAAACTTTGATCAAGAAGAAAATGGAAATAATTAAAAAATTCAAACTAATGAGTGTAGGCTTTGGTGTTTGGTTGTTACGTTGGATCTTAAACTTAAATGATTCTTTGAATTTGACAATTGTAACTTTTTGTGTAATTTTAAAATCTTAAAGTTAAAAAATAATCTCTGAATTAATCCTCAAATTTTGTAAAGATATTTCATTTTATGTTGTTCTCAATTCCTTCCCACAATTATTCAACCCTTTTAAATCCTACCTTTAAAATTGATTCCATTGAATTCACCTGACCACTTACTAATTAAATGTTACATTTCTGCGGTCAACAAAGGCACTTGAAAAATGCCATGAAGATCAAATGAAATGTAACGAGTGACAATTTTCAACAGAAAACTCACGACGATGAGTAATGAATAGCATCGCCAAGTAGTTAATCAATAAACAACAAAAAAGAGTGAACAAGAAAGATTTTTTTTTTCATCATAAGCCAAAAATTTCTTCAGTTTTTTTCTTCTCTCCTCAAACGTTGTGGCTTGGATGATAAATTTCGACAACATCCGATAAATATTTGAGCCATATCGAACGAAAAAAAAAAAATTATTGTCTTCAGCATCAACAGCCGTGACAAAATATTTTCTTTGATGTGGATTCATCAGATGTAAAATGACAAATGAAAATACACTCGACGCAGCCGAGTCCACGACAAATTTAACTTCGCCAGCAAAAGGAAAAGTTCAGCAACTTAATCATAATGAGGTGAAAAATTGTGATGATTCAACAGCTGATGGATATGAGACGTGGAATGATGAGAGGAAGGAAGAGAAAGAAAGTAATCCTTTAAATCCGAATGGATCAAATGGCGATAAAAAGGATAAAGATCGTGAAGAGCGAGCTTTAATTGTCTCATTGACGCAAGGACGACCTCGAGAGACATGGGACCAAAAGGTTGAGTTTCTCCTTGCTGTCATTGGATTCGCTGTCGATCTTGGAAATGTGTGGCGGTAAGCAATAATTTATTACGAGAAATTATCAAGCACATTAAATGTTCTGGGTTACATTGTAACTTACCTAATTTTGTTGGTCTTAATACAGTGCGTATGATTCGTTTAGCATCACACAGTTTTTTGCTTTTTTCTTTCTAATATGCAACTTAAAAAAATTCAATTATACTGTCAAATATTCTTCATTTATTACGTAATCAAGTAAGCTATAAATAATATTTTTAAAAAAGTAGAAAAGAAAAAAATGAAAAAATAACGAAAATTTGGATTTTGAAAGTATGATTCGTTTAGCACTAAGGAAAAAAAATATTTTATTTGCCCAAAAACGATGAATTAGTATTTTGTTTCATGTCCATTCTTACGTATAAGTTCAATTAGACGATTTTGCATGGAATTGACTAAAGTTTCTAATATCTGTGTTGATAAATTTCGTCAGCAATTACGGACTTCAACTTCAAGCTCTTGAATGGATGAAAATTTACGACCTCAACTATATACACGACGGGAAAGTATTCCCCATAGATTCTCTATTGGGTTCATGTCTGGTGATCTGCTTGGCCAGTCGAGAACAATGATATTTTTGTTACTAAACCATTCCATAGTCTTTTTACTTTTATGAATTGAAGCATTATCTTGGACAAAAATGAAGTCACCATCCATAAAATCGTCCGTAAATGGAATCAAAATATCGTTCATGAGCTGAATATGTTGTCTGAGTTCATCCGAGTAATAACTTTTGCAATCGGGGTCTTACCATGCATTGAGAATGCTGCCTAAACCATTAAAGAGCCACCACCAAAATTTCTAGAGTAGTTGAATTGCTTTTCGTTTTTTAAATCGTGCCAGTAGTAATGAAATCCATCAGGTCCATCAAGATTAAATTTTTTCTCATCTGAAAAGACCACATTTGTCTACTCCGTAGTCCAACGAACGTATCTTTTTGCCCAATTAAATCGTTCTACAATATCCTCAGGATTCTACATAGGTTTTTTCATCTTCTTGACATATTTAAAGCGGTCAGAGTCTCGCAATATCTTACAAACTTGAGCTTTCTTAATAGGCAGATCAAATTCACGTATGATATCATTAGAAAAGTAGTTTTCCGTAGAAGCAAGTTGAATTGCACGAATTTTGTCACGATTTGTAATTTTTGTATTGCCGTTTGATTTATCTTCTTGCCATAATCTTTGCCTTTTGCTGAATAATTTCTTACTAATTTTTCGTCTCTATTAATTCGCTTCGCAATATCCCAATTGGACAGCTCAATCGATTTTAATTGATCAACTACAGCCTTTCCAGTCTCATTTAAGTATTTTCCTTTTGGCATGATTAAATTTTTGTTTTTTAATCAGGAATCCAATGAATTAATAGCGTTACTTTATAGATCATAATCTATTTAATTAAAATTACTTACAAATTAACTTTTTTTGTTTACAATATCCACTGAAAATACTTTTTTCCTTAGTGCGGCTAAACGAATCATACTTTCAAAATCCAAATTTTCGTTTTCTTTTCATATTCTTTTCTCCTGTTTTTAAAAAATATTATTTATAACTTACTTGATTACGTAATAAATGAAGAATATTTGACAGTATAATTGAATTTTTATAAGTTGCATATAAGAAAGAAAAAAGCAAAAAACTGTGTGCGGCTAATCGAATCATACGCACAGTAGTAACAATTTAAGGCAAAGATTTAACCTTTTCAAACAAATTCCCTAGTGAAAAATTTCCAATTCTTATTTACAATGCATAAGTCCTAGAACATCTTAACATTTCCGATAATTAAGGACAAAAACGTGAATAAGAGCTTAATGACTATAATGCACGAAAATTTTGCTGTCATTGGCTCTTCACCAACACATCAATCCTAATAATGTTACTTTAATTTACTAGGTTTCCTTATATTTGCTACCAAAATGGAGGTAAGACTCATCTAGTGAATAAACATGAATTTTTCTTAAAAAATATTAAAATTTTAATTCTAGGCGGTGCATTCTTAATTCCATACGTGTAAGCTAATTCAAGCTTAATTATTTTTAAAATTTTAACTGACTTTATTTATATTGTTGTAGGGTCATGTTGCTGTTAGGAGGACTGGTAAGTTTCAAAACTTTTAAATTAATGTTAAAAGACTCAATTTTAAAAGATAATTCATTCAAATACAGCCACTCTTTTACATGGAACTGGCTCTCGGACAATTTCATCGATGTGGATGTCTATCAATTTGGCCTCGTATTTGTCCAGCATTAAAAGGTGAGTAGATATAAACAAACATAATGTTATGTGAAAAACTGATCAAACCTTAAAGCTATTGCTAATGGATCCTTTGAAATACTTTAAAAATATTATTGTGGATCATTTTTATTCGTTAGGATCTTTCTGAGCAAGTTAAAACATCCACGAATGAAAAAAGAAAAACATTTTTAAACCTCATCCTACAAACTGTTGCTTTAAAATTGTCACAAAAGATTTTCAATCATATTAATTCTAAATTCACTTCCTTTTTTTTACTTCAATGTCTTTAAAATCTACACATTGCCATTATTTTACGCTCATCGTAATAATCCATAGTAAAAAAAAGTGTTATAAAAACTTTACCTTTTCACTCCTGAATGAGTAAACGTGCTTTATTGCCTTCATATAAAATACGATTGCAGCACAAATTTTCACTTCTATTGCTGTGGTGTTGTGCCATGTTAGAAGAATGAAAATCATTTAACATCTTTTTTTTCATAAATGTATCGATTTTTATAGAGATAATGAATAGATTTTTTTATGCTTCTGTGAGATACAGTAAGCAATTAAATTGTTGGGCGACAGAGACAGAGTTATAAGGGTCAAAACCCAAAAATGTCAAATGCAATTTGTGAAGTTTAAAATCAAGATGAAAAGCAAATTGACAGAAAATTATGTTGCAGACAATTAACACAATATAGGATAGGATGTTGTAATGACCTTTAATCTTTTTATCTATGTTTCGAAAATCAGTTTCAACTGGACAACATCCAATGAGTGCGGATGAGAACTAATTTTCGATTTCGAAGGATCTAATTTTCGAGCGCGGAAAAAAAAAATTGAATTTGAAATTTCCGTTACAATTATTTGTTTACATTTTGCATTTAAATTACTTCTTGAAAAAAGAATCTTCATGGGAACTTTCAGTAGAAGTTCAATGTTTTTTAATGTGTCTAGAATTCATTTATAGGCTATTAAATTGTCTTATTTCATGTTCTGATCCTTCATTTAATCAACAATTTATTGATACAGTAATTGCCCAAGTTGAAGTAGTTTTTGAACATTGTGAAGAAACGATTGATAAACAATTAAAAGCTTTTGTTAAATTTAGAGCAAAATTTCAGTATCCGTGTTGATTAATACATAAAAGAAACAATTATGCATCAAAAAACAATTGAAATAAATTTGTTTCTTAATTAAGTCGTTAACGTATTTTTATTTTTCAAAATTTCATATTTTCGAATTTTTTCGAATTTTTTTTGAATTTTTCGAAATTAACCAAAATTAACTGACATTTTCTTTGTTCGCACTCATTGGGACAACATTAAATTGAATTGTGGTCATCAAATGATTTAATTATATCTGAATGATACTTGAGATTAACAATTGCGGTAAATGTTTTCTAAGGCAAATCAGCATATTTGTTTAATCCTTTACTGCTTAATTTTAAATAATTGTCAAAACTTATCAGCACCAAACACAACTACATCCATAAATTTGCACAAATCACATGACAAATTTGTATCAATAGACATGTTGATTGCATTCTCTAATTTAATCAGCTGAGAGAATTTCTTCCCATTCATGATTTTAAAATAAATACAATTTAAAAGAGCTACAAGATGTAAAATGTGTATGACATACATTTTAAGATAAATAAAGTCATTCAAGATGAAGAACTTTAAATTGAGATTAAATTAGCCATATCTTTTGGATAGACATACATGTACATCTTGTAGTTCTACTGTAAATATCTTGATAATTAATCTTCAATAAACTTACTTTCCACGATGAGTTTGTGAAAAAGTTGTCTATTGTAAGGATTTAATGTCATGTGATATGTCCTCTATTTTAATGGTAAATTTAAGAACAAACTACCAAAAATGGTAATCTTTAAGTAGAGAAAGTTTACGTAGCACTTTTTAGGTCTTGTAGATAGAAGTATCATAATAGAATCAAGAATTTCGTATTGAATTTCGAGATTAGAAACTGCTGTATAAGCAAGCAAAGTGAAAATGTCGAAGCAACAAGTTATACTTATGGAATGTTTTGTTTAAATAAGAAATTCTGATACTTACTGTTACATTCGGTGCTATTTGAGATTTGTGGATCGTTTGAAATGGATGTGCCTTGCATTTTAACTTTGTATTGAGATTGTTTATTGACTTTAACTTACTGAAAAGATTTGATTTGTGGAGATAATCACGAAAACTGAGAATTTATGAATTTAACTAGATTACTGTGATTAAAATTTCAAACATGACGAAATCACGAACATTTCAAAACAAAATCTTAAAGTTAAGCAAAAGTGGATGTAAATCTGTATTATTCGCTGTCTTTTGCAAATTCTAGCAGCAAAAAATTTCATTTTAAATGAAAAATTCAAGAGTTGAAATAAATCAGGAATAAAACACTGAAATCTTTGCAATATTTGAAAAAAAGTTGAAAAGAAAATTTAATAGAAAAGTAGAGCACACAGAATGGAAACATAATTATATGTCAAGTGGCTGAAGGATGATGATAGTGATGCTAACAAAAGCAACAGAAAAGGAAACTTATCGCTAGAAGTTGAATAAATATCTTTTCTTCGTTTTAATTCTATTGCTATGTGGACAAGATATAGAGTAAAAGCCGTTAAATGTTTATTTTTCTACTTTTTCATTACATTTAACACACATCTAAGAGTATTCGTTGGAGATGTGTGTAGACCTCTATGCTCCACATTTTCTTCTGTTCACTTTTATGGACATAACATTGCTTTAACATTTAACAGCATTTTCTTTTCTTCTCCCATTCTATTCTCGGTCACCTTAACTGATGTTTACTATTTACTATCCCTTCACTTTACTCCCCTCATGAATAAATTTATAAATTAGATGAGAACGATGTTCTTGAGAGAACTGAAATACCTCAAGTTGTTGAATTGATAGGAAATAAATGTTAATGCATTTGTTATTGTCTGAACTATGGATATATGTGTATGGATGAGCGTTAAATAGGCTACAAAATTTATAACTTATCTCATGCATTTTTTTTTCAGGTGTTGGAATGGCAATTTGTATCATCGACATATATATGGGAATGGTAAGACATATCGTAGATAAAAAATAAAGCTTTAAAAAATAAATCGAGCTTTATTTAATTTTTTAAAGTACTACAATACGATTATTGGCTGGGCAGTTTACTACTTCTTTGCCTCATTCACAACGGAACTACCATGGAATAAATGCGGGAATGAATGGAATACTCCATCATGTCTGTCTGTTAACATCACAACGAACTTAACCAACACATCGAGTCCTGCTCGAGAATATTTTGAGTAAGTAAAAGATACATCGCGATAAATATTAATGTGGACATACTTGAATTTCTAATTCCATCTCGTTAATCATTTTGTTAATTTCCTTTTCATTTTCTACTCAACAGACGAAATGTTCTTGAGCAGTATAAATCTGATGGACTAGAATATATGGGTCCGATTAAACCATCACTTGCATTATGTGTATTTGGAGTTTTTGTACTTGTATACTTTTCATTATGGAAGGGGGTTAAGAGTTCTGGAAAGGCTGTATGGGTTACAGCTCTTGCACCATATTTCGTCCTTGTTGTTCTGTTAATACGCGGTGTTACCTTGGATGGTGCAGATGAAGGAATCCGCTACTATTTAACACCAGAATGGGAGAAACTGAAAAACACAAAAGTTTGGATTGATGCAGCAAGTCAAATTTTCTTCTCACTGGGTCCAGGATTTGGTACATTATTGGCTTTATCTAGTTACAACAAGTTCAACAATAACTGTTATCGTGATGCGCTGCTGACTAGTTCCATAAATTGTCTTACAAGCTTCCTTGCTGGTTTTGTTATTTTTTCGGTAATAGGATATATGGCAAAGATTCAAAATGTCGATATAGATAAGGTCGGATTGGAAGGTCCTGGACTTGTTTTCATAGGTAATGTAGCAGTTTCATTTTAAAGCTTGTCATTCGTGTAATAATTCTTTTCTCTCATTCATCAGTTTATCCCGAAGCTATAAGTCTAATGGGAGGCAGCACATTCTTCTCAATTATTTTCTTCCTAATGTTAATAACCCTTGGTCTAGACTCAACATTTGGTGGCCTCGAAGCTATGATAACTGCATTATGTGACGAATTTCCCGATACAATAGGAAAACGTCGCAAACTTTTCGTCCTAGTTCTTCTTGCATTTATTTATATCTGCGCTCTACCGACAATGACATATGTGAGTAATTTTAGAAATTGATTACTTAAAGATTTTCTCATATTGATAGTCATTAATTAAATGATTTTTCATCCAACTGATACTCCTTTCAACTCAATTAGATTCTCCATTTCACTCATCATTAAGTTTGATTATTGAGTGAACATAATTTCAGTCTTTAAGTAGACGTTTATCAGTAAATTTTCATCTGTAGATTAAGAATTGTATTGATTGTTCGCTTTGGAAGCATCACTTTGAATTAGGTGCTTGAGGAAATACTCTATTGTAGAATACTATAATCATTGTGCCATTAAGTAAAGCAATAATCAGAGAAAATGACCAAAAAACTTGCTTTATTTGACTTTAAAATCGAAAAAAATAATTAAATATGGAAAAAAGTTTAATTTAACGCCATTTTGAAAATGATTTTTTCAATTTTTTTTGAAAAGCCGTTAAATTTTTTTTCATTGTCTTATTTTCTAACTTTAATTGAATCAAAACATTTCTCTCGCTGAAAAAGCAAGCACATCTACAAGTTATCGATTCTTTTATTTCACACACGATATCATTAGAATTACAAATTTAATTTACACTAAAACCACATCTAGAAGCAAAACAAAAAATTCAACACAAATAAAATCACAATAGACAAAAAGCTTATAAATAAAACATTGACCATGAGCATGATGAGTGGAAAATCGAATTTATCGGAAAAACAGATTTTTATGGCTATCAATTTCTATTTACTGTAAACGATTTGTATGAATATTCACCAACTATTTGCTTTTAATTAAAGGGTGGCGTTTATTTGGTCAATTTTTTGAATGTCTATGGGCCAGGTAAAATTTGATCAATAATGTTGTTGGAAGTGAACTTTAGTATTTATAAATTCTTCTAGGTCTTGCGATTTTATTCGTCGTCTTTGTTGAGTCTGCTGGAGTCTTTTGGTTTTATGGAGTTGACAAATTTTCTGCTGATATCGAGCAAATGCTTGGAAAAAAGCCGTCATTATATTGGAGAGTTTGCTGGCGTTATGTATCACCAACTTTTCTTTTTGTGAGTCTAAACTTTCTTCCTGACTTCATAGACAAGTTAACTTATTTGACAACTTGATTTTTCTAGGTAATTTTGATATTTTCAATCATAAATTCAGGAAATATGTTAGGGGAAGAATATGCATATCCAGACTGGGCATTTCCCTTAGGATGGGTTCTAACACTTTCATCTGTGATTTGTATCCCACTTTATATGATTTACAAGTTTGACAAGACCCGAGGAAGTTTTAAGAGGGTGAGTAGATTGATAATTCCAGATTCTTGAATTACTGAAAAATTTCTTTAACCTTCCAGAAAATAAGAACAATGTTCAAGCCAGAGCCTCTTGTACCCATGACTGGTCAAATAAGCACAATGATCAGCACCGTTTGACAAGGCATACAATCAAGTCAGAATCCAACAGTATAGGACCATCAACAGCAACATCACAAAATTGTTATCTAAAACAAGATAATTTAACAATTTGGTAAAGAAAGTTCCCAACAACATTAGATGCTAACAAATTTTTAGAGTTAAAATTTAACAGGAAAAACTAGAATTTTTGCTATATGAATGTTAAGAATTAAGAGAGATTGTTCCTAATATGCGAATGTTAAATTTGCTATTTTGAAATGGACGAGATGAAAAGTTTTATTTTAGATGAGAAACAAAAAAAAAATGGAAAGAATCTATTTATTCTAGTCATAAACTGTTGTCAATGTTGCAAAATGATTTTCTAGAAAAAATTTAAGTAAAACATTCCATTTTCATATTGAAAGCTTCAAAATTAAGGAAGAAAGTCCCTCGTACAACGCAAAAAGTAAAGGATATGATATTGAACCAACACTGCATACTATAAAATATTAATTAATCCATCAAATGTTTCTATTTAAAGTGCTTTTTGCATTCAAATTAAATTATTATTGATAAAATTTCGTATTAATTGGAAGTATATGAATCATATTACTCAGATTAGGATAAAATATACATTTATACAACATTAATTAAACTGCTATGAGAATACAATAAGAAATTATGGACGTTCTGGGGTTGCTGAATGTTATTTAAATCTTGTTTGAGGTATTTTTTTGACAATCAGAATATCAAATCGTGAATTAGCACAAAATCAATAGTCCAATTTAAAGCATTTGATCAAAATTAAGCCAAAATAAATTATCTATTGGATCTTATATCCAGGAAACAATTAAATCTACTAGACTTCAGCAACCTTGAGATAATGAATCAGAAATTAATTCCCAAAATCAAAGAATTATTAGTTAAAAATACAGTAGCGCTCAAAATGATAAGGACAGCAACATTTTTTTCACATTTTTATTAATTTTGACGCACAGGATTATCTAAATTTGCTGAAATTTGGACCAGTTATACAGTGTTAAATGTCCTTTCATACAATATATACTGATTGTACTTTAATTAAATATTTTTGAAAATAACGGTAAAAAATCAAAATGGCTGCCGCTCAAAATGATAAGGACAGTAGATTATGTTAAGATTTTATTATATTAAGTAATATTATGGAACTTTTAAGACTCAAAACATTATGTTTGATGAATATTCTTTAAATAAATTTATAATTCACGCTTCTAGATGTAAGACTTCTTACTTAATTTTAGTGTTTAAAAATATGTGAAAATTTTGTCAATTTATGATAAATTGTCGTACAGAAACTTGTTTATTCTTTAGGTTAACTACCAAAAATTATAGATAATTTGATTATTTATCAATTTATGATCAAACATTTAGATAACTGTTAATTAATGTAATTTTTTTTCAAAAATTTTATTTTTCCTTTGCGAAATTTTTGTGAACTTAAGTCGACAATTTGAAAAAAAATTGTTAAATATTCGCAAAACAATGCTTAAATTAGTATATTTCTCTTCCATTTTAATTGTTTAATAACATATATCAAGCAATTGAACCACTTCGAAAGGATAATTGACTAAGCAATCGTTCTCTTTCAACAACAAGACTTTTTGATATGGCAAAAATGAAAAATGTGTTGGAACCTAAAAAAATATGATTTACATAAGTGAAGTTTTAACATAAAATAATTAAATTTGGCTTTTTTAATCGAAAAACACTCTATTTTGTATTCTATGAGTGCTAAATTTAACATTTTTACAAAAAAATATTTCTTCATATTTTTTCGTCTTGAGAAGCTCATAGAGAACGATTGCTTAGTCACTTATCCTTTCGAAGTGGTTCAATTGCTTGATATATGTTATTAAACAATTAAAGTGGAAGAGAAATATACTAATTTAAGCATTGTTTTGTGAATATTTAATAATTTTTTTTCAAATTGTCGACTTAAGTTCACAAAAATTTTGCAAAGGAAAAATAAAATTGTTGAAAAAAATTTACATTAACTAGCAGTTATTCAAATGTTTGATCATAAATTGATAAATAATCAAATTATCTATAATTTTTGGTAGTTAACCTAAAGAATAAACAAGTTTCTGTACGACAATTTATCATAAATTGACAAAATTTTCACATATTTTTAAACACTAAAATTAAGTAAGAAGTCTTACATCTAGAAGCGTGAATTATAAATTTATTTAAAGAATATTCATCAAACATAATGTTTTAAGTCTTAAAAGTTCCATAATATTACTTAATATAATAAAATCTTAACATAATCTACTGTCCTTATCATTTTGAGCGGCAGCCATTTTGATTTTTTACCGTTTTTTTCAAAAATATTTAATTAAAGTACAATTAGTATATATTGTATGAAAGGACATTTAAAACTGTATAACTGGTCCAAATTTCAGCAAATTTAGATAATCCTGTGCGTCAAAATTAATAAAATGTGAAAAAAATGTTGCTGTCGTTATCATTTTGAGCGCTACTGTAGGTAAAAAGGCTGGGAACAAATGGCAGCATGGAGAAGATTTCGATGACAGCCATATCGAAAGATTTTCATAAGCCATTTCAGGAACGAATAATAAACATTATGGAATGTTAAATTCTAAGCAGACTTGAGCAATTAACGAATTTCATCGCAGCTATATGATTTTCAAGTTGTTCAAGGCATGCGAGGAAGTTATTGTTTTTCGGATACATTATTTGTTATTATTGTGTCTATGTTCAATTTGTTCAAATGCTTTCAATGCATTTTTTCACAGCCATAAAAACTGCATTGAAGGCACAAATGTCATTTATGATATATATAATGTGTTATTAATAAAGAGATTATTTTAATTTCCTTAGATTGTGACTCTTTTGTTGCTTCTAATTTCAGACATTTGACTAATACAAGAATCGTCTGTCATTCCTGCAACGTAAATACAGATCGCTATGAGCCGTTCACTTATTACGTTCGCATTTTAGGGGGGAGGGGGGTTTGAAAAATTGTAACAAAATGTAACATAGGAGGGGGGGGGGGGTGTCAAGAAGTATGTAACGTTTTAACTGTCGTCTCTTTTAAAAAAAAGTTCACGAAAAAAATTTGTTCACAAATTCACACCAAAAACATTTTTTTAAATTTTCCGCTTTTTTATCAAAATAAAATAAATTATGAACGTTCAGGGGGGGGGGGGGGGGGGCTTGTGAATTGTAACATATTGTAACAAGGGGGGAGGGGGGATGAAAAAAGTCGTTTATTTGCATATCGTAATAAGTGAACGGCCCCTATTGTTTATATAGGATCTTATTACTCTCCATTCATAATTCAACAGAGCTGTTAAAATTGAAACGTGACTGAACATGTTGACGCAAAGATCATGTAAATAATTGAACTTTTTGATGATTTGATCAAGATTTTATGAATGACAAGACCTATCCAATGGCTGAAAAATCTAGATCCTGAAAGCAATTAATTAACTAGTCAAAACGAATTATTTATATTTGGTTCTCACAAAATAAATCTTCTCTTCTTTGTTTTATTTTGATACATCGTACATGGAAATTTCATAGACTTACAAAGTTGAACTAATTATTACTTAATTAAATCCCATCAATTCATTTTATATTAAGAAAATATGAAAATTCTATGGAATTTTTTAAAGGAAATATAACGGCTTTATGGCATTTAAACGTGTGTAATTTAAATCTAAAACTGTGTTAATTCATTAATTTTATATTTCTGTAATTCATTAGATTTTTTTGATTATTATTTCATTATGGAACTGATTATTTCACTGGTTATTTTTGTTAATTCAGGATGATCATCTCTTTAATTCATTTTTGTTTATCTTTCAAAACTAAAGGTACTTACTTCTTTGGATTATTTGGCTTGTAATCGCGAAATCCTTGATTGGCATTCTCATGGAAAGAATATCCATCAGGTCCTGGTTGACGATAAAAGCTATGTCCCTTTCCATCGTTGAAATAACGAGTTGGGGCTTGACCTTCAGCACGTGGATTTGTGTAGCGATACTTCCCATTTTCATAGGCAGTATATTCATTGCCTTGGGAATTTGTGCCTTTATTATGAATATTGTTACCGTTCGGCATATTTGCGGATCAACAGGACGCTTTTAAAGCTATTGAATTGAATAAAATTAGTCTTGATTGTTTGGTTATTCTTTTATTGTCTTACCAAATTATTCACGATGTTAACTGCTCAAAGGATCTTTGATAAATGACAATTGTTATTGTCCGAACACCAACATTTAAAACCAAGATCCGACCATTTTTGATCACTTCGTGCTTTCGTTAAGTTTTTTTCGTTGTCTATTTTTCAATTCATTCAGTTCATTACATTTTCTACTATTTAAGTAAATATTTAAGCATTCTTAATAACATTTATTGGATTATTGACTGATTGAGCATGCATCAATTTCATGTTTGCAGGATAAAATGGCTTTGAAAAGGAAATAGATTCCGATGGAAGTAAATATCTTGTGCATAATGATGAAATTGTGTAAATACTAAGCTTTGGCACTGAAAATGCATTCTCATATTTTAATGCTGGGAATGGACATGCATTTTTTCGTTGGAATGAACAAAAAAAAAAATAAACAGTCGAATAATTTTTAAATAAATGTTTTGAACCGAAATTTGAATATTTTAAAGCCGTTATAGTCTGATCAGTAAGTTAAGCTATAAGTTCCTTTCCCCATGTTATTTAGTCAGTTTAAGTCTTCATTTCAAACTTGAAAAACGTCTTTTTAACATAAACTTGCAGCATAAATAAAAAAATTGTTATTTTGTGTGAATTAGAGTAGAATAGTGACAAAATGTTTGAGGAGATTGAAGATGAGAAAGGATATCGGTAATAAAAGGATGAATTTATAGTGTAATTAATAAATTTATGGATTAAATTGATATAATTCACAGATACTTTTTAAATCGTGATGGAAAGAAGCAAAAAGAATGTCCAATTTTAATAAGCATTATTAAAAATATAAAGGCAAATTTTCATGACATTAAATACAGCACATACCGATGTGTTGTTAAACTCAAAAAATTAAAACGTGAATTATTCAGTAAGTCGCAATAACATAATATTCCAGAAAACTGATCGCTTCAACAAGTGGTTCTTCTTCTTCTTTCTTTCTTTCTTTCCCTTTCTACAGCATATTGCATATCGTATAGGAATGTCGTATCCATTATACAAAAACATAAGAATGGATCAACGCAACAGCAAAGCATAAGCCCTAAACAGTTGACTGATATTGTTTATGATATTTTCTACGCGACGCAAAAGGCTGGATTTTATTTCGATAATAAGGCATTCCGTCTAGAAATGGCAGTTACGATATTAACGAATTTTCTATGGAATATTTTTGACTCTAAAAGGATGCAAAATATCTCATTAATGGAATTTAAATTAACTATGCTGGTTCTTTGTGATTTGGAACCACTTAATACATTCAATCAGATCATAGATGCACATTTTGAGATGGCTAAAGACTTTAATCATTGCATAACAAAGCCTAGATTTGAAGAATTCATTAATATTTTTGGAAAGATCCTCAGCTATATAGGCGAGCCACTCTATTTTGACCAGAAAGTCATATCTGATATCCTTGCTGAAGCATTTTTAAATTCGCCAGGAATCAATGGCATATGTCAGTACAACTTTTACAGTTTATGGACGGACAAATTATCGAAATACACTATCATTTTCTTACTCTTAATACGCTTTAAAAAATCGGAATCGATTATTCATCAAAATGAATGTGCTGGTTGTAAGAAATTTCCAATTACTGGCCTACGTTACAAGTGTCAAAAATGTAAAGGAATGTCATTGTGTTTTAAGTGCTTCAGTAAAGGATTTACAAATAAGAGACACTCGTTTGGACATAGATTCTATGAATTGACATCAAATGAAAAGGAACATGGCAAGATGTGTTCAATTCTATTAAAATTCTTGAAAATATTTCAAAGACAATCGAGTACGGCAAGCCTTAATCAGAGTCTTCATTCAACTCACGATCAACATGCTGAAAATAATGGAAATACAAAATTAATTGAGGATGAACATATTGAATTGGTACAAATTGATGATGATATGGAATGTGGCACCTCAATTCATTATAGACAGCGTCGTGGAACAATCAGATCTGAAATATTCAATAATTCAGAGAACTTGTTAATTTTGCAACGGAATTTGATGGACAAATTGTTAAATGCTGTAGAAAATCTCAAATCAGAGACTGAAAGCTTTCAGAAAATGTCGAATGAAAACAAGAAAATTATTGCATCAGACACGGAATTCGAGAAATACCTTAATTCACATGGGCAGTTTTTATTTGAGCAAGTTGAAATATTAAAACAAATTCATCAAGCCACGATCCAATCATTCTCATCAAATCAAAATAATAAGACTATTAAATCATTCTCTACACCGACAAAATCTATTTTTCTCCCATCGTCAACTCCGTACAATAATCCTAAGGAAAAGCCGAAGCTTATGGTTGATCCAATTTTGGCAAACTCTAGTGAGTATAATTAATTAATATTAACGGATTTTCTAAATTGAATTGTATCCGTCTTTTTAAATTTAAATCATTTTCGTCAATCTTTCGTTAAAAATTTCAAAACATAAAAAACCGTTTGAATTCAAAAAACCAAGAACCGTTGCAAAACCCGTTATTCACGCATAAGAGTTTCCTACAAGCTATTATAATAAAATCAAAACAAACTTTTACTGACCAAGAAGATTGCGAAACGTGCCAATAAGCATATGATCCGAAAGACTTTTTTTTAATAACCGGCTTCGAAACATGAGAAAAACAAAACAACATGCTGAAATGTAGGACAATAAACAATTCATTTACTCTTTTTTTTCCTCCCCAGTTAATGGATACGAATTAAACAAGTCGTATGTTGCGAAAGACGAAGAATATTCCATTAGTGATATAAGTACATTCTTCCAAACGAAAATACCGTCAAAACAACGCAGCAATAATAATAATAACGGTCTAAAGAGGAACGATCTCGACCAAACTGAAAGTAAGATTGAGAATTTCAAAAGATTATTTGCAGAAGTTAAGGACATAATTGACGGTGAGTGTTTATGAATGGAAACAGCAACTCATTCATCACAATAATAAATTATTTGTTTGCTTATTGTTGCAGATTCCTACAGTGAAAATATCGAACTCGCACGTACAACAGAAAAGTTTTCAAAAGCACTTGATCAAATACTAGAAGATGAGGAAAAGAAGCGCAAACAAGACGTTCACTGATATTTACTGAAAATTTTTGACATTTTTATAATAATTTATGCAAACATTGTCATTTGATTATTTAATTTCGTGTCTGTTTGAGTATGTTGAGATTAAAAAATGTGCATTGCGTAATCACTTTTACGCTCTTCTGTGGATTATTTCGCAGAATCCAGTTAATCAACCCACAAAGAAGTATTGTTTTAAAATTCAATTTTTAATTTACCGAAAAAAATCGTGCATTGAGTATTATTGTTGGTTTTGGAACTGATCAAAATTTTTGGCACATTAATCTCAACACTCAAAAATTTTAGCTTTTAATCAAAATACATTGCCTTAAAAACTTAGAAGTTAAGTTTAGAAAATATAAAAAAAAAGGTTGAGGAGCTTCCAAAATCGTCAATTTTATAATTGTCACGAGTGACTTAAAAGTCTAAAATTAATTTGAAGAATTTTTATGCACCAAATTAAATATTAAGTTTGGAAAGTCATTCCTTATTTCATGACATGACATTTTCATGGATTATATTAGTAATAAATGCACAATATTACATATCAAATAGTCGTGTTGAAATTTAATATCTTTCAAAAATTTATGTTGATTTTCAGATTTATTATCGATCAGATCGAATTTCACTTCCTGTCAGAATAAATGCTAAGAACAAGAAATCGCATTTAAATTGGAACCACAAAACTGAACAGATGTTTTGATGCTTTTGTTACTATTTTAAATTAATAGTTTAAATCGTAGCTGTAGTCCTTGAAATGATCAGATTATAATCTGATGAACATACAAGATCAAGCCGAACTCATTATTTTGTTTACATATCAGTCACAATCTCCATAAATTTTCATAAACAAAGCATATTATGGAGCGAGAAATAATTATGTACGGCAAGTTCCAATGAAGATAAATTCAAAATAAAAACAACATTAAAAGCAGCAACAACAATATTTGCCGCAAACACGTGCTAGCTTGATAGCTCGTTATTTTCCCGCAATTTTGAAAATTTCAAAATTTTAGCACAGACACAGTCTTCCCTCAAAAAATGACGTCACAAATTGTATTTTTTTATTTCCAGAAACTCACGATGATTCGTTTTTCATTAATTAAACAGCAGTCGTAGACGTTTATTGTGTGATTATTAAATGAGTTTTGTGATAAGAAGTGCGATAATAATTTGTGGAATATGAAGTTTAGACCATTCAAGTGATTAAATGTGAAAAAATCATTAAATTTGCTTTAAACAACAAAAATAAAATCAGTGTAGGAACAAAGAATTTAAAAATATATATTATTCAACACCCACGATTAAGTCCATATATAAAGATATATTAATCAAGCAGTGAATTACTTCATTCATACCCATTTTAGTGAACAAATTAAAGCAGAAAAAAGTTTTATCGATACAGGGAAATTATTGGAAAAACAAGAAGAAGATGGTAAGTATAAATACAGAAAATCTCTACTTACCATGAATTTTTGAGCGCGAAACTGTTAATTTTACAAATTCAACTATTAAAGTACTTTTTGTTGCCATTGATTACTGTGTTAATAAACAGTACATTTCATTTTCTACAATTTTTCAAGTAATATCTCTGTATGTGATGCTTATTATTACTTATGTTATAAGTACGCTGCAAAATTCGTTGCTGTTCAGTCTATTCGGATTGTGTGAAATGCATTAGCCTTGAAAAAATTGACTGATTAGATTATGAAAAGTTTCCAAAATTTGACGAATTTTTCATATTTGAAATTTTTATATTCACACCGTTTGCACTTGTGAATCTATTGGTTTTTTAACGAAAGATTTTGCAATTTTCGGACTGATAATTTTTGAATTTTAAATGACTGTTAAATTTTTACATTGATTTATCAATGTTTTAATAATAAAGTGTAATCTCAATTATGTGTGAATTGTATTGCGAATTAATTACGAAACTTCCCACTTGCTTATCAATTTGAATCGAATGAATTAATAATAATAATAATGAGTTGCTAATGTAACCGGCTGTTATAATTTTGTGATAATGCAGTCGCTTATTCTAAGGTGCTACTCTTTCGTTTAGCCGAGTTCAATTTTTTGCACTTTTTCCTTTCTTAACACCTTTTCCCAAAATAGTTGTTTTTTGTGTTTTTTACTAACGACTAGTCTGTTATAAAAAACAATAACAACTTACAGCTAGTTGTGGAGTTAATTAAATTTTTGAAAATTACAACAACAACATTACTCATTCGTTTAGCCGAGCTCTGAAAATTATTAAATTTTCATCAAATTAAATGTTACTATATTCCATTTTACATTAGCTTTCGATTAATATATAATATGTGAACTTTTATGTAGATTAGATTTCTGCTAGGGTAATATTGATATTTAACAAAATTTTGAGATAAACTTAAAATTCTCAGGAAAAATTTTCAAAGTGAAAAAGGTTTTTCGTTAAATGTTTGCCTCTAATCTGCATAAAAGTTCACATATTATATATTAATCGAAAGCTTATGTAAAATGGAATATAATACAATAAATAAATCAAGAAATTAATGTACTTTATAATCTAAAATCATCAAAAACCATTTTTTCTTGACCGCCATTTTGAAAATGTCGCTTAATTAAACATTTTCATTCTGATAATAAGTATAATTAAGTATCATTGCGTGTCATGCTACATCTTAGAATCAAAAACCACTGGTTAAACTTGTTAATTTGATCAAAATTTCATAATTTTCAGAGCTCGGCTAAACGAATGACTAATGTTGTTGTAATTTTCAAAAATTTAAATAAATCCACAACTAGCTGTAAGTTGTTATTGTTTTTTATAACAGACTAGTCGTTAGTAAAAAACACAAAAAACAACTATTTTGGGAAAAGGTGTTAAGAAAGGAAAAAGTGCAAAAAATTGAACTCGGCTAAACGAAAGAGTAGCACCTTTTTTAAAATTAATCAATACACAAATAAAAACCTTTATTGGCAATAAAGTTCACAGATTAATTCATTTCAATTAATTCTACCAAAAAAACATACAGCCAGTCAAACACAAACAGTAAATCACAATAAATTCGCGAAAATAAATGATTCATATGAACATGCTCAGTTAATTTATTGGTATTGTTTCAGCAAAAGACTGTGATTACACGCAAAGATGCTCAGGAAGCAAAAATAAAAACAAGATCAATGGCAAAAGAAAGTGAGAAAAAAGTTTCATTGAAGGAAGCCAAGCGTAATAGTCGTCAAAAAATGCTCTTGAAAGGGAACGACACTAGTTCAACAGCAGTCAAGGATATTTATGGAAATGTAAAGTTGATTTCACTTGCTTAATTTTTTAATATCATGACCATAAACGTAAAATTTCATTTAAACAGGCATTAAGCTCAATAAATATGGTTCGCGGTCGAAGTGGAGTTATTTATGATGAGTCAATGACTCAACACTTCTGCCTTTGGGATCAAAATTATCCTGAATGTCCAGAAAGATTTACATCTGTGATAAATCGCTGCAACGAATTGGAATTGTTTGATCGATGCATTGAACTTAAACCGAGATTAGCGACCAAAAATGAAATTTTATCGATACATACAGAGAAGCAGTACGACTTGCTGCAGTCGACACGTGATTTGAACAATGAGGACCAATTAGAAGATCTCTGCTCACAATATGATGCAATTTTTATGAACCCATCTACATTTAACCTTGCACTTTTAGCTTGTGGCTCAACGATTGAACTTGTTGACAATATTTTGGATGGAACAATACAGAACGGAATGGCAATTATACGACCACCAGGACATCATGCTATGAAAGCTGAATATAATGGATATTGTTTCTTTAACAACGTCGCTGTTGCTGCTAAACATGCACTCGACAATAAAGGAGTCAAGAGAATACTAATCGTTGACTGGGTAGGTAGAATATTCTTTATAATAGTTCTGTGGCTCATAACTGATCCGCAGTATTTTTGAAATTCAGTCTTGAATTTAATCAGCTAGTCAAAAACAAAATGATTAGCATAGCAAATAAACCATAAAAAGCCTCCACAAAAGAAATCAATTAAAGTAAAAGAAAACAAAATCATTTGAATTATTTGTTTCAAGGACGTGCACCACGGACAGGGTTCGCAAAGAGCTTTCTATGACGACTCACGAGTTGTTTACTTTTCAATTCACCGCTACGAATTTGGTACGTTTTGGCCAAATTTACGCGAATCAGATTTTGACTATATAGGATCCGGAGATGGAGAAGGAAAAAACATAAATGTTCCATTAAATAAAATTGGCATGACGAATGCCGACTATTTGGCAATATTTCAACAGCTATTGATGCCAGTTGCAGTCGAGGTAAATAGATTTAAAATCCGATAACATTTTATGTCATCATCAAATCAAGAAAAACTTTCATTTCATTGAAAAATCAATCAATTCCATTCATTTAGTTCCAACCAGAATTAATTTTGATATCAGCTGGCTACGATGCTGCATTTGGATGTTCAGAGGTTTGTTTAAGGATCTTTATTAATTCCCTTCTTTTTTTATTATTTTTCTCAGTTCCAACCTGAGCTTGTCATTATATCCGCTGGATTTGATAGTTCGTTGGGCGATGAAAAAGTGTGTATATAGAAAAATTCATGGCTCAGGGATTTCTTGTGTACTGTCTGCATGTTTACTTTCGCTTAAATTTTTCATTTCTCTGTAAATAATAAATTAATTTATCAATTTTCTACATTTTTGCATGCTCATCACAGGGCGAAATGGAAGTTACGCCAGCTTGCTATTCACATTTGCTTTCACCGCTCATGTCTTTAGCTAATGGTCGTATTGCTGTTGTGCTTGAGGGCGGATATTGTCTTGAATCGCTCGCAGAAGGTGCTGCTTTGACACTCAAAACACTTTTGGGTGATCCATGTCCTAAAATGGAACCGCTTCAAGCTCCATGTGAAAGGTTTCTATTTCTTCTATTATTTCCAATGCTAATTTCACACTTCATCTCTTCTTTATTAGTATCCAAGACACAATCCTCAATTGTATATACTCTCATCGACAATATTGGAAGAATTTGTGCCTGCAAGACATTTATAATATTGAAGAACTTAATAATGTGAATCCACAGTCAAACTTACATCATGTTCCACATGATAGCTTCATTGGTGGTGATCCAGTTCCGGAACGATTTTTAACACGCAATTGCTATCCAGTACAAAATGAAGCATTCAGGAAAAATGTTGCTGGTCGCTTAATGAAATTGAGGTTTTTTACAAATCTATCATTCCCAGTGAACCGAGTTTGCTATGTTTATGATGATGTCATGCTTCAGCATAAGAACAACTTTGAAAAGTAAGTCGCTTAACGGTTTATGAAAATTTTAAATACTGAACGGCAATTTTTAGAATTCAAATTTTTAACGAAACTCGTTGAATTTAAATTAACAGTTTTTTATCTTTACTTATTCAAAATGAAACTTTGTACGTCTGGAACGCTTTGATAAGAACAAACAATCTCATAAGATTCTCAGACTGCAATTTATCTCCAAATAAATCCCACAATTAATCATTCTTATCTTATCTTAAATTGAATTTTAGCGGACATCCAGAACAACCTGAAAGAATACGTAAAATCAAAACTCGCTTTAATGAGTATAATTTATTGGAAAGAATGAAATATTTACCGTCTCGACAAGCAACAGAAGAAGAACTTCTGCTTGTTCATTCAAAATCGCATTTAAAGAACATGCAGGCACTTGAGAAATGCGATAATTTGGCAGCTTTAGGAGAAAAGTATAATTCAGTTTATTTCCATCCAAAAACTTATGAATGTGCCAAATATGCAGCTGGAAGTGTTTTACAGGTTGTTGATGAAGTTCTTAATGGGAAGTCATTAAGCGGAGTTTGTGTGGTTCGTCCACCTGGACATCATTCTGAAGAAGATCAACCCCATGGGTTTTGTATATTTAATAATGTCTCAGTTGCTGCTCAATATGCTATAAAGAATCATGGATTGAAACGAGTATTAATCGTTGACTGGGACGTACATTATGGTCAAGGCACGAAACATATTTTTGAAAATGATCCAAAAGTTCTTTACATTTCAGTTCATCGATATGACGATGGACATTTTTTCCCAAGAAGTACAGACGCTAATTATACAGAAGTTGGAAGTGGCAATGGTAAAGGATTTAATGTAAATATTCCGTGGAATAAGAAAGGAATGGGAGATATGGAATATTCTCTGACATTTCAAAATGTAATTATGCCTATTGCCTATGAATTTGATCCAGAATTAGTCTTTGTCAGTGCTGGATTTGATGCAGCTATTGGGGATCCACTTGGAGGATGTAAAGTCAGTCCAGAAGCTTATGGGCATTTCACACATTGGCTCTCAAGTCTGGCAAATGGAAAAATCATTCTACTGCTCGAAGGTGGATATAATGTCAACTCAATTTCACATTCCATGACACTTTGTGCTAAATCCTTACTCGGTGATCCATTGCCAACATTCTTAATATCTTCAAGATGGAATGGAATTAATTCAAGTGCATTGGAAACGCTTAAAAATGTAATTAACACACAAGAAACTTATTGGAAGTGCCTCAAATTCAACAAGAAACTGCCAGATTGTGACGACAATGAGAATAAGATGCAAGATGATTTAGTAAAGGACCTAGAATCAATAAAGCTTACCGATTCTGATGATAAAGGTAATCAATCGCATAGTTCAAACATGTCTGTGACAAGCAGCTCTGATTCGTGTGAAGCTGGATCTTCAAAACCAGTTGAAAAGAAACAGACATTGACAGATTTTCTTAATGATAATTTGGAGGTGAGTTTATAGCTTTTTTTGAGATTATTTTTATATTGACATTTAATGTAATAGGCATTAAATAACGAGGAAATGTATGCAGTTGTACCTCTTAAGAATTGCCCTCATTTATCACTTCTCCGTCCAGAAGAAGCACCTGAATGTAAGTACAGATTTTTAAGAGAATTATAAATTCAAAAATACATTGAAACCCTACAAATGCTATAAAACTGTTGTAACGTTTTGCAACACTTAATATAACTTGTAAGGTTTTCAAATTTAAATCTCAAAAATCCGTTAAATTTTCAAATAATTTATTTTAACTCTATTTCCTATTCACAGCAATCGACCATACCAGTGAATGTACAGAATGCCACACATCAATAGAAAATTGGGTTTGTCTGACTTGCTACAAAACTTTTTGCTCACGTTATATCAACGAACACAGTCATTTACATTTTATATCCAGTGAAGAGCCTCTAACACTAAGCTTTAGTGATTTATCAGTTTGGTGTTACAAGTGTGAGGCTTATGTCGATAATCCACAGCTTTATAAGTACAAAAATCTCGTCCATCGAAGTAAATTTGGCGAGGATCTTGTGTGGAGTTATGGCGATATTCATATTGATTTAACACAGACGGACGATGACGACAGTGAATGATATTTATTTAAATTCTTCCCTATTGCCTTAATTTTCCTCCTATTTCTCACGAAACTTGTTACTGTCGGCTTTCGTGATTTATTTTCGAGATTCTTTATTTATTAACTTTTACTATTTGTATCCACAAAACCTTAACTATGTTCTTGATGACTTTATAAATATTGCAACTAATACCTCCGGTTATTTATTGATGGTACAATCGCAGATTAATAATAATTTTACACAATAGATCGGATGACAGAAAAAGTATTAAAAGTAACCAAAGCTAATGATTCTTGCGAAACAAGCTGATGATGACTAAAAGGCATGTAAAAATTGGAATTAACCAAAGTAAATTAATTAATGATGTTTTGTATTGTTTAATTTAATTAATAAAAGTACATTTAATGTTTACACAAAAAATTATTTCCATGTTCCGATAACTCTATGCTGGATATGTCATTGAAAAAGGCGTAAAAATCCATTATCATTTAAATAAGTAAATAATTGAGTTGCCGTTTTTCATTCAGTCAACGACGTTTTGCAAAATATTGCAAATATGTTTTAGCGCATCCAACCAATAGAAAAGGACATGAATTTTGTCTTCAGGATAAGTGGCTTTTCCTAAAACTTGAAATTTCCCATAGAAAAAAATATCATTAAAGTTAAATTTTTAATGTTATCATGCATTTTCCTTTTTTGCAAGCATTCAGCCTCGTATCCCTCATTTCATTGTGCCACAACATATCACAGTGAGCGGAAGTAAAACTTGAAATCATGCAAAATATTGCAAATAAAGTTAGAAAGAACTTTCAAGACTTAGAAAAGTTTTTAAAGTTGAAATTTGGAAAGAAACGATCAGTTCCGCATCATATTCTGTTTCAAGAGTTATTTCGATGTGAGGGAACAGCTAGAATTTTGGCACATTCATTCTTTAAAGAGATCTTGACTAAACCAAACAAATTTGCAGTAGCAAATAGAATTGCAACCCAAACTGCAATTCCTTTATTCCTAATTGTTGAAATTATTTCATTCGGATTGTCAATCCAGCAGAATTTAATCAATATAATGTTCGAGAATGTTGTGTTTTGTGGCAGTTACTTTATCCTCACGATTAAAATTTATTCAGTTTTTCAACGCGATCGTGTAAAAATTCATGAAATTATTGAAAAGTTGGACGAACATTTTCCACACTATGGAGTTGATCAGTTGATATTTAAGGCTCAAAATTATTTAGACACTTTAAAGCTAGTCGAAACAATTTACTACATTATATATATTTTTGCTGGCATTCAGATCAGTTTGATGCCATTTCTTCATCAAATGAGCTACTAGGAGCTACTAAATCAGTTACTATTGAATGGGAAACATTATTTGCCTTAACATTACCATTCGACCAGCTTCAACCTATTGTTTATGAATTAATATGGATTATTGAGAGCTGGCTCTTTCTATTCACATTTGTCTATCTTATCTGTGGTGACATGCTGTTTTATAGCTTAATTCAAATTTTAGCTATGGAATTTAATATTTTGGGTCAAGTAATAAGTGAGATTGACATGTCAGAAGGCGAAGAAGCAGCAATAAAAGAACTTAAGAAGCTTATTGTTATCCACGATCAGCTCATTCAAGTTTCAAAAAAATTGAATGAGATGTTTTGTGGTCTTCAATTTGTCAATGTTTTTGGATCAATTATTGCTCTATGCACTGCTAGCTTCTTATTAGTGGTAAAATATTTTTTGATGTTTAATTTCATAACTTCATAATATATATAAATGAACTCTTTTAGTCAGGAATCAGTGGATATTTTATCGCTAAATATTTTATGTTTCCATTCGGTTTGATTGTTCAAATTTACAGCCAATGCTACTTTTCACAGCTATTAATTGAGTAAGTTTAAATTTTAAAACCAATCTCAGATCTTTTAAATCTCTAAATGTCTATAAAACAGCTCGTCAACATCAATTGCAACATCAGCATACAACACAGAATGGTATGCAAGTAGTGAAAAATTTCGCCGGTATATACTTCAAATTATGGTTCGAGCTCAACGTGCTCAAACCATCAAAGCTTGGAAGTTCTTTGATATGTCGTTAGAGATCTTTCAATGGGTGAGTATCCATATTTATTTAATATCATTCAAAATATTGATTTTGATGCTCTACAGATAGTGACAACATCATATTCTTACTATTCTGTCCTACAAGGTACTTATGGAGCTTAGGATATATACTGAACTTATGTGTAGCATTAAATAATTCAAATTTAATTTCTTTAAATTGCTTAGAATCAATTTTTGCACTATCAAGACAAGTTTGAATCTTAAATGAGATTCAATTAAGCACTTGGTAAGATTCCCACAGTAGTTCTCTTGAATGTATTGTTTGATATGACATTTGTTAAATAAGATGACCATAAAAATAAATAAATCTTTAAATGTTCAATTATTTTAAACTGAACTTTACAACACCCCTTAAATATAGGCATCAAGTACACCTATAAAAATTCAGATTCCTTGCATTAACTTCAATTACACATATGGAAATTAAATTTATAAAGCGAACTTTCCTAAAGTTGACTTTTCCTGACATCTTCCACATTTTCTTTTATGCTGTTAATCACTAAGCCTCTCAGTGATCCAACAGATCTTCTAGGAAATTGAAAGAATAGAATAGAATGTAATGTATGGTTTTGCTTATATCAAAAGCGGCACTGCGATCGATGTCCTTAATAAAGCCAATAATGTCCTGATAATGTTGCTTATTTATATGCTCATCATTCAAATAATCCTCATCAAATTGATAAGTCTAAAAGGAATTTGAAAGGTCCTAGTCGCATTTTTTAATTTAAGAATGTAAATAGCACTGAACCTGGTTTCTTGTTTAACGGACGGAGGAAGACACTCCTGACGACTTGACTCATTGTTCGGATTACATATTCACATCATAAGTTCCATCAAATTGCATTCCTCTTCTTCTCATTATGTGTGCACAGCATCGAATTCTCCTCTCAATTCACGGAATTGTGAATTTGTTTAAATATCATTTAAATCTAATGCATCTAGTTCTGTTTTTGAACGTATATAAAAACAATGAAAACCATTTGAAAAGCGTCATTTTGCTGGATATTGTCTAACAATTAAAAAGGTCTCGCGATATAAAAAATAAAGAGCATTTGTGAATATTTCTTGTGTTTGTAGCTTATTCCAATCATATGAAAGTCAATTTTGTGAAAAACGATCAGCAACAATAGCTAGCGAAAGACAGGAATCAGGAAAACAAAAATGAAATTGGTAAGTGTCAAAAATCCGTGTTAAGTCCGCGACTTACATAAGCTTTAATACTTTTTTGGAGCTGATTAAATGAAAAATTGATAAATTAATGATTCTCAATTGTGTGGCTTTAAGATGTTCCTTTCGTGCCCTAAAATCATTCATTTCACTTCCAATGAATAATGAGAAATAATAAATTTACTTTTGTGTGTTAATCTGGAGTTACCTAAGAAGCTATAGTCATTTATTATTTTGGGCAGTGACGGAAAGAAAATAATGAGACAGAAGAGTGTGTGGTCAGTTTGAATAGATTGGAATCTTGTCGAAAGCTTTAGAAGCAGCATAAAGTAACAATTGAGTTGCTCAGCATCTTCTTATTTTTATGAATTTTTTGTTATTTCAATTCAAATGGTGACAATTAATCATGACAAAAATTTCTTTTAAGCGCCAACATTTGTCATCGCCATAAAAGCTTCAGATATTTGTGGTAAAATGAAATAAGGAAATTGTGAACATTAAATAAATGATAAATTTAAGTTATGATTATTGGATGATTGGATCAGTCAGTGTGAGACGAATTTATCTTTAAAGGCTTTTATTATGACATGTGCTCTGTGATGTCTTCATAATAATTCTGTTTGATGAGCTGGTTGAAGATGGTACACAAGATTTTTGACTCACGACTAGGTTAGCATGGTCAAAGAAATCTACAAAAAAACTTTGATTCTAAGAATAATCGAAATAGTTCCAATTACATTAACGCCAGCATAGACTCTACTTGAACTATTGTCTCCATAATTATCATCCATGACACTAATTGACTCTCGATCAATCGATCTTAGCATTTCCATAAGTTATAAACTGTCAAAATTCAATATTTTTTCTCACAAACATTTTTTATTGCATTTCAACATTTCGCAAAAAAATTTCGATGTTAATGATTTGTGTAGCCTTTATTACTTTAATATCCATGATGAGGTTTAAGATTAAAATCTGCAAAATATTGAAATTCAGTAACTTTTTCTCTGTTTGGTATTTAATTGAGAAAATTTCGTTCCTTAATGAAATGAATTGAAATTTTGCTCAATTTCTCAATTAATCTTATTTATGAATCTTAATTCATTAAGATTACGAAAACAGCGTGTAAACTGCCTTCTTTTTGAGATAAGCAACATTGAATCAGAAGCATTGCACGTTACTTTATACTTCTGTTACTATCTTGCAAATTTTTCATATTTAATTTCTTTTTACTATATTTTAATATTCATACAAAAGTGAGCATGTTAGAGGAAATAAGAAGAAGCTTTCAAAACAATTTCATATCGTGACTTAAAAAAGCTATAAACATTATACATTCTCAGCGTGCTGTCCCATGCAATAAATAATATAATGGAAAAAATAAAAAGCAAATAAACTCATCTAGGAATGAATCAATTCGAAGATGCATTAAAAAGGTCAAAGTAGATCATAGCGAATATGAATTATTTATGAAATCAATTAAAATGCGAATATATATAAGGGACCGTTCACTTATGACGTCCAGGGGGGGTCAGCAAGAATAGAACAATAGAAATTCCTGGAAATCTATTGTTCTTATTTGAAAAATGACCGTTAATTTCGGACGTCATAAGTTAACGACCCCTAAGCAATTTATGATTTAATGATCAATTGATGATTATTTGACAAAAATATTTAAATCTGTTTTAAACTTTAAGTGGAACTTTTTTAAACTTGAATTGTCTCAGTTAATATCTTGCCATCTTTTTGAGCATTTTAACATTGAAAATTTAATTGTATTCTTTTTTAAAGTTGACTAAAATTGAGAAAAACTTTTCGAAGTGATGAAAAATTCCATCACTTGATTTTCAAACTTTAAAAATTCGTTAAATTTTTAAGTTGAAAATAAGACTTTTCAAAGTTTTTTCGACTCACAATTGCTTCTCCTTTACCTGCATCCTCTTTACCGCATTCCCACTTCCATCCAATAGAGTGTAAAGTGTCAAATGGATCGTGATCAATTTGACATATCTACCTCATAATATAATATTTAATATAGAATGTTTATGATTGTAACTTCTTTCTGCCATGCATATATGGACATGGTAATGAAAAATATAAATATATGAAAACAATGGCTCGTGTACATGACTTCATGTTTCTCATTGTT